CAACTTGTACAAATTTTATATATGAACATCAATACAAAATGAGTAGAATATTATATGACATGGGAAATTAATTTTCAAATTTTGAAAATAATTTAAAAGAAGTATAGTAGATGAAAAGGTTCCGAGCGATATTTAATGGTTGAGCCGGCAAGAGTAAAGGAAACGATGCAACCGTTTCGAGCAAATAATCATAAAAAGCAGCCACGACTTACAAAATATCCTGAAAATCGTACGCTATTGGCCAAGAAGCGATGACGAGCCGCGATATGAAAGAAAAAGATCACTCAGTGAAATCGTAGCTCTCCTCCTTCTACTGAGCATCATGGTTACTGGGTCAACGCTGATTGCAAACAGAGGAGGATATGTTGGAATTTTCACGTTTATGGTTATTTCACGTGACAGATAACGTGTTGAAGTACTTAAAGCGTTGTGTTACATCCACCATATCCTGTGTCAACGTTTACCGTCTCGTGCAATTGCACTCTGGTATTTCGTGTATGTAATTTGGAGGCACGTGTTAGAGAGAGGAAGGATTGTTCTTTGGCAGCTGATCATTGTATGATTGGTAATGACAGGTAGGAAATCGAATTTTGGAAATTTGGTATTTTGGAATTTGGAATTTTGGAATTTGGAATTGTGGAAATTGGAGGTTTTGGAATTCGGAACTTTGGAATTTCAAAATTTTGGAATTCGGTACTTTGGAATTTTCCAATTTTGGAAGTGGAAATCTTGGAATTGGGGTTTTGGAATTCGGAACCTTGGAATTTCACAATTGAGGAATTCGGAACTTTGGAATTTCAGAATTTTGGAAGTGGGAATCTTGGAACTGGGGGTTTTGGAATTCGGAACTTCGGAATTTCACAATTTTGAAATTCGGTGCTTTGGAATTCGGAACTTTGGAATTTCAGAATTATGGAAGTGGAAATCTTGGAATTGGTGGTTTTGGAATTCGGAGCTTTGGAATTTCACAATTTTGAAATTCGGTACTTTGGAATTTCACAATTTTGGAATTCGGAACTTTGGAATTTCACAATTTTGGAAGTGGGAATCTTGGAATTGGGGGTTTTAGAATTCGGAACTTTGGAATTTCAAAATTTTGGAATTCGGGACTTTGGAATTTCACAATTTTGGAATTCGGTACTTTGGAATTCGGAACTTTGGAATTTCAGAATTATGGAAGTGGAAATCTTGGAATTGGTGGTTTTGGAATTCGGAGCTTTGGAATTTCACAATTTTGAAATTCATTACTTTGGAATTTTACAATTTTGGAATTCGGAACTTTGGAATTTCACAATTTTGGAATTGGGAATCTTGGAATTGGGGGTTTTGGAATTCAGTACTTTGGAATTTCACAATTTTGGAAGTGGGAATCTTGGAACTGGGGGTTTTGGAATTCGGAACTTTGGAATTTCACAATTTTGGAATTCTGGAAATATGGGATTCGGAACTTTGGTATTCTAAATATTGGAATTCTTGCAATTCCAAAAGCACCTCATGCAATGCTACTATGACATTTCATGTATACAATTCGGAGACACATGTTGAAAAGAATGTTCTTCGGAAGCTGATCATTGTTCGATTGGTATTAACACGAAAGAAACAGATTCGACTAGGTGTAAGCATAACTGAGAACTCGGTTTGATTTATTAACAGGAATAGAGTGGTAGGTGATAGTTGTGATACATTGGATCTAATAGTGGTGCCTCGAGCGACATCTTGATTGACAATATCAAATTGGATATGTCACAGAGTACGGGAACATGTTTTTTGTACTTGTGAGACCACCCAGGGGCTATGTGGATTAAGGTTGCTTTACCAAGTAGCGGAACTCATAGATTGTGGATTTGGGTTTACGTGGTGGAATTATATTCGTTTTAGTGTGGATTCTGGTATAGCTCATATATATAGTAATTAACTTGTATTAATCAGACATTCCATATTCAAATAACAGTAAAATGGTATAATGTTCCACTGTGGCATTCAGATCTTTGTAATTGTCAGAATTTCAGTTACAATAACTTCAAAACTATTTACAAAGTTACTGAATCTAGTCAGACTCAAACAGGAACAAAATACTAAGCGAAAAATATTAAGGAACAAAATATTAATTGAATCAAAATTGCAAAGATTGATATCTCGAATGATTTATCACGCTTACAGTTTACGCTGTCTACCCCGGTAGAAATCATCACATTTCTAATTAAGAACTATTTGCACAGAATTATCATGATTGCGATCAGACCAAAATAGAATCAAGAGAAATTATGAAACAAAGTTACTATGTAACAGATATTATACAACGACGCCTAAACTAATTCCATTGTGATCAAAAATATTGCAGTACATGTAAAGTTACTCAAATATAATTAATCTTGCGATAATTTGAAAAATTTGTCAAAAATTTCTGAAGTCGACTTACTGTACAGGTATTCTACGTTCATTTTTCATTTGTTACAAAAATATTTTTGATCACTGTAAATATGATTATTATTCTGTTTGTTAAAATACATCATTAAAATGAAACTGATAATTTCATGATGGTAATTTAATGATCTGCAATTAATGAGATTTTGGATGAATACACAATACAATAAAAAATGATATTATAATCAATACAATACAAGGTGTCATCAGTACTTTTTCTCAAAAAATCGAACACATGAATATGAACGTGAAAGTGAACATATTTATGCAGTAAACACATATTCGAATTACGGGCTCCTTGAGTTCATTCTCGTTAAGCGGTCGTATAATCGTTTAACGTAAAATAGCGAGAAGGTTCTACGTCAATATCGTGAGAAAATTTCATATTTTAGAAAGTACCGTTGTCATCGTATCAACGTGAAAGTCAAATTCAAAGCGGAGAAACTAGTCGAGTCCGATTAACGAGGATCCATCAGCATCAATTAATCGACACGACAACAATTCGTTTTCTAAATAAAACAAAAAACTATGCAAACGCACAGTTAGCTGATGTTCTAGCAATTAATGTTTGACGTAGGTGACTTTCACCTGTGTGCGTATATTTTCTTCTTCGGATTTTCTTCTGCGTGTCGTTCGAAGGAAAATCATACGATTTCACCGGACTGATGCGAGTCGAATGCGGTCCAATCTCTTCGAGAAGAGTTTTTACCCGGTGCTCCAAGAGATTGCACGCCGTCAATTTGCGCGTTGCACCGACACTTCCGTTGAAAAACAGCAACGAAATTATCGCAGCCATTCGTGTTCGAGATTTCTTCCGTGATAACTAATATAACCAGAAGCTTCGAGTAACGTTTCCTCGCCTTCGATTCCCGCGGACATAATAGGGGAATTGTGCTATTGTCTGTTTCGGGAAATTCTGTTATTCGAGGCGTTACGATTATGAGAGCGAAAGGATCGGTCTCCAATTATTGATAGTTCACTCACGGTAACATGTCGGCAGGTTTACGTATAATATTGGGAAAGCATGGTCGGTAGGTACTGCTAGTATGATTCGAATTTGGAAAGTGAGAAGTTCGGAAATTTTGGAATTTGAAATTTGAAATTTTAGAATCTGGAATTTCAAGTTTTGGAAGTCTCCATTTTTGGAATTCGGAATTTTGGAATTCGGAATTTTGGAATTTGGAATTTTGAAACTTCAAAATTTTGGAACTTCAAAATTTTGGAATTCGGAATTTTGGAACTTCCAAATTTTGGAATTCGGAATTTTGGAACTTCCAAATTTTGGAATTTGAAATTTTGGAACTTCAAAATGTCGGATTTCGGAATTTTGGAATTTCAAAATTTTGGAATTTGGAATTTTGGAACTTCAAAATTTTGGAATTCGGAATTTTGAAATTTGGAATTTTGGAACTTCAAAATTTTGGAATTCGGAATTTTGGAACTTCAAAATTTTAGAATTCCGTATTTTGGAATTCTGGAATTCTAGAATTTGTAATACTAGAATGCAGAATTTCATAGCTTAGAATTCGGAATATTGCTACTCGAAATCTTATTTCAAAAGCTTTTTCCACTTTAAACTATCCACTACCTCACGAAGCGAATTATAATATCAATGCCACTCTCCGAATTTTTATAAACATCTGTTTAATTATTCGCAATATGTAAATTATAGTATCGGTGTTCACTGACCCCCACAGCACTTAATATGAAACGTTCTTACTTCTCCTTTTTTATTACAACCAGTAAATTATGCATTCGACGTAAAAAAGTTAATCACAGTATAATAATCGGTAGAAGTTTATGGACTGTTTTAATTGCATTGTATCGTATTAATGAGTTCTTGATATATTATATTTTTTGTATTAGCACACGATTATTAACGAGACTGATTAGTTCAACTGTAATATAAAATGACAGATTCTGACTTGTTATTGTAATAGTGATATTTTTGTGAGCTTGGTTTTATGGTTTCGATTAATATTCATGTAGAGGTTAGCGGAAATATAAAGCCATTAATGATGTCTGGATGTTGAGAGTTGTACGACTACTACACTGTAATACTATTCATATTTCATATCGTTAATATCATACACAATATCATTCATATAAATATAATATACTAATATTATAATATAATATAATGTAACAGTAGGTAGTTTAACAATTTATAGTTAATAGTAACTTTAGTAAAAAGAGCGGAAGAAGCATGTAAAATTTATACAATTTATACGAGATTTATTTATACCAGATGTATCTCTGACTTAGGTATAAGTAGTATATAATAACTCTGATACATAGATATGAACAAAACGTTTCTAGTACATATATATAAACAAAACTATGTATGTAAATATACACAAAACACAATATCTTTATATGTAGCCATACTCAATTAAAATCAGAATAAATAAAAAAACTAAACCATAGAAAGCTAACCAATGGTTCTGAAAATAATGAATCGTTGAAATACTCCTCTGAAAACGTTAACTGGAATAATTACACGACAAGCGATCTTGCTGACCTAAAATATGATTTTTCATGGATAAATTTACACGATTGTTCGTTTCACTGTTTAGGCAGTCGTGCTACTATCCTCGATTAATGTCTGCGCCGAGGAGGATCTCAAAGACGACGGGGACCTCAACGACCGTAAAGAAAACAACGGGACAACAGTCACGTCCATCAAGATCATCGGGGAAGGATCCAAGAACAAGACGGACAAAACCCGAGAGACTGTGAGCGAAAGAAATTTCTATTTGCATAAATAACGTCCAGCTGTCCTGTTCGCTGAATTAACCACGGCTAATTTAACCGACTAAACTCGCTGTTATCGTGTTACCGTTGATATACACGCCATCAGATATTAGAAGACGAATAAATGTGTATATACAGAAATAGTGTTACGTTTCGGGGAATTAAATTTGGTTGTAATTAACATTGTCAATGATTTACATGTACTTTTGTTGTGACGAGTTTTAGTGAAAGGAGAGTATTGGGGTGCATGGACCGCCATCTTGTATTCAGCGTTGTCGAGGGTTTTTATTAACGAAGTTCACGGAACGTGTCGGAGTGACGCTTTCTTATTTTAAATTATAGGAGTTCTTCAGATGTTTTTGTCGATATTTTATCTTTCGTCGAGATGCAATTGTTTAAATTATGTTTCATCCCTTATTTATCGTTATACTCTATTTTTAATCCAAAAGTATCATCGGACGTTCGTAAACTTAGTGTTGTTACATTATTTGCATAAAGTATTTAAATTGTATCACTGTGATAGAAATAGCATGTACTTTTTATTGATATAAGCGATGATATTACAGTTGATATAAGTGGACGTTTTCATATGAAAATTAAATAAATTTTCAGCAACTGGAGAGGCTTCGATCCCTATTTGCCAGTCGACAAAATGGCAGCAGAGATCTTGCGTTGCCGAAAAGTTCGGACATCTCTAAAGTCATATCCGACGATGGTAATGGTGATGAAGAAACTCCTGAAGAGCTACCAGAGGTAACAATACCTATAATAATTGAATAGTCGTACTCTTACTAACTATAATATGTCACAGTACAAATATTAATTTTCATTGTAAAGTCTTGGTTTTCATTTATTTCAAAGTCCATCGACAGTTCGAAACTGCAGTGGAAAAACCTTTGAATTTCTGCATCAGAAAATCCAGATTTCCGAATATTGCTACAGTACACCGTGACGAAACATTAACGTCCATCTATCTTCCGACAAAAAAGATCTTTAGAAAGTCGAGTTTAGAAGTTCTTCAGGTCATAAATCATAGTAAAATTGTATATACTTGTCGCGTATGAATACTAAGCCTTATACTTATCTACTTACTGATTTGTAGCTTTCTGTTTTGTACCGCATCTTATTATCATATCCCTAGTTTCTAAAATACGTGCAATTGGAATCTCGTTCAAGTGAAATTTCACTGGAACGTTTTTGGTCAGGTCTGCTATTTTCGTTCGTAAACTTTATCTTCCATCAAAGTTGAATGCAGAAATTATACGGTGATCGTGATCTAGGAATTTCTTAGCGAGACACTTTCTGCGATTATTTTCTTGGGCAAGTACTTTCACCATAATCGACGTTCATATTTATCTCGTTACTTGTCAAAATTCCCAAGGAGAATCGTGGAGATCTTCGAAACGATGCCGCGCATAAAGGACGTAATTCGGGACATTAATTAACGTACACCGACGGCTTAAAATGTACCCAGACACGCGTACATTGTTGTGATCAAGATTTTCAGATAGAAGCTGTGGAAATTGAGATTCAAGTATAATTAATGCAACAGGAAAGATAAAATTCGCCTGAGAGGATAAGCGTGTTTATTTATGCATTATGAAACAAAGAAGCCACCACGGTGGTGTGAAATTTAATTCTAAAGAATTAAATGTGTCTGAGAGCTGAGGATCTTTCAACCATTAACTGTTTTCTTTTTTCACCTTATTCCACTTTGTTACACAATTTCTTCTATTTTTGTATCTTAAGCCTGCGAATTTTTGCAATTTTTCAGATTAATGTTTTTTGTTACAGCCACAGGAACTGAAAATTGTTAGACCCAACTTGAGGAAACGACCTACTTATCGTCCGTCTCCTCCCAGAAGACTGGCACCACCTAATCGGAGGAACGTTTATTCAGGTTAATATGATTTATATCAGGTTAATATAAATACTATAATGTATCGAAGTTATCACACATTTTGCTATGAATAAATTGTTTGATGAATACCTTTGATGAATTTACGAATTCAATTATCTCACACAACCAAATCTTACGCGAAAAAAATTTATTCTACATATTCATCTTATTTTTGCACATAGAATGCTACCTTTTGTATATTTTTTAAAATGCATTGTGAAGGTTGGTAGAATCTTGTGCTCTGTAATTTTTGATTCGCACGTGTTACAAAAATATTGAAGCAAAAACTCACTGAAGGAAATGAATTACAGCGTGTAACCAATTATCCACAGATCTGTCGAGAACGCCATTGACGAGACCACCAAGACGTCCAACGGAAGCGAAGAGGGATCCAACGGAGAAAGAGTGTACTTTCTTCACGAAGACAGTCTGCCTGGAAGCAGCCGATTATCCGCAGTAAGTACCTCGGCAACTTCTTCACTTTTTTCCTCGATTGTTTTCATTCAGGGTTGCAACCATTGCACAACACGTTTCACGAGGCATTTCAATGCGCTTTCTCCACTGGACAATAAGGGAATTAAGGGAATTCTTGCGATAATTGGGTGAATGTGTGATGGCAATTTTACAATGGTAACGGCGTAATTCGTGGGCTCGTTAAAACGAAAGAAAGTTCTCGTTATTCTACTGGTTTCTATGCCAATTGCGCAATACTGTTATTCTCATAACCGTTCTTAAGTTTTTAATTAGGAATTACGGGCGGCAGGACGGAAGTTGTGGAAACACCGGCGAAAGCAATGACTTTCATTTCCTTTTCCTTTCCGTGGCGAATCGTGAAACGAATTCGGACGAATGTCTTGTGAACGAAATTATAGGGTGTGATATAACTTGTACGGCAAATGCGATTGTATGTGAAAAAATTAGTCTGACATCTACAATAAAAATTTTTCGTATGAAGCTTGTTTCAGGAGAAAATTACATCTGAAAATTTGTTAAAATATTTATAAAATAATTTTTGGTTCATTCAGTAATTGATGGATTGTTTCTATAATCGAATTATAGATCAGTACATATAATTGCTAATATGTATAAAATTGTTATTGGTTTTAATATTATTATTAGTCTTGATGTCACTTGCATATTTATCATACTTACATTAGCTCATATGTTAAAATAATAAATATATAAAAGTCACGAAGAACAGTTCCAATTTTTCAATCTTTTAAATTATTACAAACTCACAGTTTTATCTTATATAAGACAGATTTAAGGATAACTCAAGGATTAACCGAATCTATGTGCAATCATTAAAAAGGATTGCTTATAAGATTATTCATCGGTTTTTTATTTTAATTGAACAATTGTTTAGCGAAACAATCACCAGAAGTTTAAGGAGCAACAAAGAGATGGTCGCTGCTTTGCTGACGGATTACAAGTCTCAAGATTTTGATGAATCCGGGGATGTGCCAATAGCGTTGCCTCTTGAAAATAAATTCGAGAACAAGTACGATGGCCGATACGAGAATCGATATGAGAGCAACGAGATTAGAAGGTAAGAATACAAAGTACTATTGCATAGAAAAATTGAGTTATTGCGATTAGAGTAAATATACAGGTGGTTGCTTTTGAAGGGTGCCCCTGTTGAATGACAACTCGACACGCAGCAGTGCATGCTGCAAATCGAATCACTATTTTACTGACTTATATTATGAATTCTTGACTTAATTAATAAATCTTGAAGTAAAAATATGAAGTAGAAGAAGAAGTTGAAGTAGATGAAGTTGATCAAGTAAATCGAGTGAATGAAGTATAAGAACAAAATGAGTTAGATGACCTAGATGAAGTAGATGAACTAACTAAACTAGATGGACTAGATGAACTAGATGAACCTGATAATGTAGATGAACTAACTAAACTAGATGAACTGGGTAAACTAGATGATGTAAACGAAGTAATTGAGTTATATGAAGTAGATGAGCTAGATGAAGTAAATCTTAAAATAAATCTATTAAACTTAACTCTTCCTAAATAAAATAAGTATAAAATTAAATATCAGAAATATCTCAACCTAATTCAGAACACTACAGCTTTTAAATATCTTGACATTAGCGTCCAATAAAGTCTTTATATTTCTACAAAGCCACAAACTAAAAGAGCTTAACAATGTTGCAAATTAATTTCAGGAGATCCGATACAACTTCATTCGACAACGTTGAAGAAGGCTTCACGTGTCCGTCAGTAGTCAAGTACGCTCGTCCACAACTGGCTAGAGCCGCTTCCGGTATCTGGAAATACATCATAAACACTGGAGAACACACACAAACTTTGCGTCTGGAAAAATGTTCGTAAGTAACATCCACTTTCATATCTCCTCACAATGGCGATTCCAACTTTTTATCTGTTTTTCAAAAACAATTTTATCTACCGCTCTTCCGTTTCAATGCTTTTCCAAATTGAAAGAAAGTGATTCGGTTAAATTTTTCTGCAAAGTGATTTCCCAGAAACGTTTGAACATCCTCAACGCAACTTCGTAGAAATTGAAATTTTGCGCTTCGTCACGTGCCAGTGAGCAAAATGACCACTTTGTTCGCAGCTGTTTGTGGTGAATTGATACAGTATTTTTCACAGTTGACATCGTGTTTCGCTTTCGCTCGTCATAACGAGAATCTGTTTTAAAAACGAAAGGGTTCTTTGTATTGTAGCTTGATACCGTGCAATTACCAAGTTTCGTGTAGCGCGAAGTTTAAGGTTTACGACCACAAAAACACAGGTTTAAAATTTTATTATTTCTTTATTCAGTCAACTTATGAGACTGGATGGTGGTTCATAAAATTGTCATTTATATTTTTTACAGTGTCCTTTTCAGATACGCGTACAATTTATTTAACGTGGTATCACAGTAACGTACATAATCATAATAAAAATTGAGTAAATATAGCATTAAATGCTGTTCATCATATTTTTTATCAGTGCAGCTACAATATTTTTATCGTTACAACTACAATTTTTCTCACCATTACAACTTGGTTATTTAATTGTAATTTCACTTTTATAATGCAATAAGTGTTACAAAATAAATCAAAATATCAGAAGAGATATTATTTGAAGTTGATATATAATTAAATATAAAAAACAATTAAGATTAAATATTGCAATTTCAAAGTCAACTGTCTAAGTGTTTGTTACATAGCTAACTTGTTCTTAACTAAATAAACTTTATATCTAACTATACTTCTCTTCGTTTTCTTCAAACTGAGTTTGATCATTTCAGGAATCCCCAATCGAGCTGTTCCTTCATTTCGGAGAACTATCGATCGTCCTGCGTTCAGGTGTACAACTACCACAGACTTTTAACGTGGGACAGTAAATTGGGTCTTCACATGGACATCTTCAAAGTACCAACCTGCTGCAGCTGTCACGTTCACGGTTACGCTGAGATTTTTCCACCCCATCAGAATGATCCACCTTCAAGGATCAAGGAGTCCTTTCCTGGATCCGATTTTGCCACAAACAACGAACAGAAAGATGACTTCGAAGATTCCAAGTTGAACTATTTGAACAAATTCGTCGCTGGATTTGATTCTGCCCTGGGTACTCTTTATTTGTTAAAATTGCATACAATTTAAAAATTAAATTCTTGTACTAGCAGATAACAAATTGTAACATGTAATACTATAATACTTTACTTAAGTAATACTTTTCATTAAAGAATTTTTAATGTAATTATTTAAACTGTTGGTTCAGGAGTTCATTTATGAATAAAATTGTTTAATATTTGTTTTCAATAGCACGTCTGATTTTATTGAATAATTAAATTTGATGTAGTTAGATCTAACAATTATAGTTGATGAGGTTCGAATTTTGAAAATTAAAGATAATTATTTAAGTTGTAATATTTTTACAATTTTATAGGTTCAAGCAATAAGAAGCCTTTAACGGAAGCTACTCCAAGTAGACCAACTTTTACGCTTCCTGTCAGAACGAGGCCTAAAAAACAGCCTTCCTCTTTGAGTTCAAGACCATTTGATAAATTGCCTCAGCAACATGCTCCAAATACAAGAGCACCTGGGTACACTGGTCCATTACTGAAAGGTTCTAGACCAAGTAGACCGGGTAGACCACCATACAGAAGGGAATCAACGTCTCATGTTGAAGAAAACACCGAAAGTTTAAATAACAGTACAATATTAAATAGGTAATAATTCACTTTTGAATTGAAAAATCTAACAATCATAAAATTCCCAAACTAAAAATTTGAAAATTTAGAAATAGGATAATTTCGATATTTCAAAATGTAGAATTAAAAAATTCAGAAATCTAGCAGACCCAAAATCGTTAAACTAAATAATTAAAAATTTGGAAATTGAACAATCTCTATCTTCTAAAATATAAAATTAGAGAATTCAGAAATCCAACAATCCCTAAATTCCCAAACTAAAAATTTGAAAATTTGGAAATTGAAAAATCTCTATCTTCCAAAATATAAAATTAGAGAATTCAGAAATCTAACAATCCCTAAATTCCCAAACTAAAAATTTGAAAATGTAGAAATTTAGTGAATTAGATAAATTAGGTGAATTATTGAAAATTAAATATGAAAATATAAAATCTTAAAAAATATGAGCTTAAATCAATAGCAATAAGCCACAATATCTTAACCCACTTTCAATCTTACCTAACTATTACTTTACATAACACAGTTCTTGCACAGCACGATCTTACAGTTAATTCATTTAACGAATTTAATTATTCAGGTACAGTCAACCATACGACCTGGAAATGGACGCCACGTCGCGGTTACAAAATGGCGGTTTCGACGACGAGTACCACGAACCACAGAGGCGAATCAATTACAATTACCATCCGATTATCGATTTTTTTCGACCGGAAGCATCGATGTTGCAATCGGCAGAAACTCAATCGGCCTCGGATCAGAATGATTCGAACTCGTGGAAACCGATGATATCATCTTAATTGACATTTCACCTTTTTCGGAGTACCTGATCGTTTCTTTCATTTTGTAACGTTAATCGATCCTTGAGAAACGAAAGTATTATGTATCAAATTGTTAGATTTTATACATGTTTACTTTTTTTATATCTATGTATAGATACTTGTATTCTGGTATCCTTTCTAGCTTCATTAGTACTCCTTGTTCGTCACGATTGACGATTTATTCCGATAATTATGCTATTATAAATTAGACTAGTGGATAGATCTGGCGTATGTGGAAAAACACGAGTATTGGCGTGCATAGTTTGGTAACGTAAATTTGGAAATTGACAAGTATATGTATTTAAAATGTTTAAATTTTTAAATTTAGAAAATTAGCAATTTCAGTAATTGATTCTTTGATAAATAAGAAGTATAGAAATTTTCAAACATAGAATTTGATAATTTGGAAACTTGAAGAGTTGAAAATTAGAAAATTTTAATAATTGAAGAATTGAAGAACTGAAAAATTCATGAACTGAATAATTGAATAATTGAAGAGTTGAAGAGTTGAAGAATTGATGAGTTTATGAATTGAAGAACTGAAGAATTGAAAAAATTGAAAAATTGAAGAATTGAAAAATTGAAAAATTGAACAATTGAAAGATTGAAAAAATAAATGAATAGTTGAATAATTAAAAGCTTGAAAGCTTGAAAGGTTGAAAGCTTGAAAGCTTGAAAACTTGAAAACTCGAAAACTTGAAAACTTGAAAACTTAAAAACTTAAAAACTTGAAAACTTGAACATTTTCTAATTGACTACTCATCACACCAAAATGCACGTTACAATCAACACCTAATAAATAATTAGGCGTTCATTAAACTCACCTTGACTGAATAAGAGTTGTCGAATGCCATCAAATTCAACATTTTAAAAAATTGTCATAAATTTTTGCTCCAAATTTTAATTTTACTCCAAAGTATATCTTCGATCAAAGAGTACTAATGCAATGCTCATTGTAACGATAGCGAACGTTCTAACTGTAGAAGTATTACGACCACATTGGGCAGGTGCAATTACTTCGCTATAGTTATGTAATACTGCGTGAATTTTGTATTAATATATTTATTACTTTTAACGTTTATTAATTTATGAATTGTCAACGATTATTTGAATATTCGTGTCACACGAATTATTGAATAAACGATACGGCAACGACTCGAGCGTAGTCTTTCCTGTTTTTACATACCTTTTCTCTAGTTACAATTTACAGGGACGAAATAAATGATACTTTCTTGTATGATGTTTCATAATCTCTGAATATTTCTCAACTCAACTGTTTTATCTGACGTTCAAATGTTAGTGTACTACAGTTCTCATGACTTTTTGTTTAAACAATTTTCTTTGCTATTATTTTATTCAACTAATTGAATTCATTTAATACTATCAACTTTTAATTTGCATATTTCGCCACTTAACAACGTAGTGGGTCAGGACTTTATTATTTCAATTTAATTCTATGATTTTATATTTACATTTAATATTATAATATTATGTTATATATAATATTATGTTTAATTCAATCTATGGTACCGAAAAGCCTCATAGGCTGATAGACATTTAGGCTGACATAAATAGTAACGTGACAGGCTGATGGGTCCTTGCGAATAAACATTACATCAATTTCTACTTAAATAAAAACTGTAATTCAATGAATATGCGCAGTCAATTCTCTCTTTACAAAAATTGATAAAAATTAATGTAATTAAACAAGTTTCATAAACTTCATTAAAATTGCTCATATTACAATTCATACAAATGGAAGCTGCTGTCTAATCAACAGTTATAGAATGAAATTCTGCAACAGAAATTCAGTTAAAAAATATTATACAAAAATTAAAGACGATTGTCCGTGACATTCCACTCCAAGTTCAAGGCCAAATCTTCTTGGCAATACTGAAGTAGCAATTTCTTTCACCGCTCTCAGCTTCACCAGAAGTTTTGCAACAGCCATGAAATATTGGCTTGTTTCGCAGGTGTTCATGATCACAATGAACTTCACAGCGTCCTGGAGTTGCTTCAAAAGATCTTCAGAGAAGCTCCGCTCTTCACAGTCAAGAGCAACGAGCAACTCAGTCGCCTGTAAATCGTTTGTTTCGCTCGCTAAGTTTCTATGAAGGCGATTGCACCGAGCCTTTCCGCGTCGATCCGCGAAGCGTGTCGCCCGAGCCACAGTTTTTCTCGCTCCGCTGGCTTCGGCTAAAACGTTACTGAACTTCCAATTCTAGAAACGAAACGTTTGATCGAATTCCTGGTTTTTTTCATGGCCGACAGCCTCGTGGTTCATCAGCGATCCGATCGCAATCGCTTTTCCGTAATTTTCAGCTGAAACTCTTTTTAAAATACTCTTTAAGAAAATACTCAGATTCGAGAAATTTGAGTCGCTTGAGGAAACGTTATATTTCTCAAGAAACAAGATTGCTATTTTATGGAGACTTGTAACGTTTGATAATTAGCTGAAGTTGAACTTGCAGATGTTTTAAATTCATTACTGTAATTACCGTTTTGTATCGTTCACTGTGTAAGTGATTATCGAAAAACTTCAGTGGTGGATATTGACTGTCATTATCCGATTAGGAAATTTCAGTCGTTGGGGTAATCGAATTCTTTTGAAGCAGAATAAATGTGTAGGTAGATTTAAAAATGTTAGGTATTCTATAACATTTCTTTTTGTTAACATGAGAATGAGTGCAGGATAATTCCTTCATTGAATCTCCCCATTCTCATGAAAAAATATTTGTTTCAATGATTTTGTGGAAGAAGCCATTTTATATAAAATCAGCCTAATATTTATTTATATTAATTTTCATAATTTGAGCATTATGTATACGAGTGTGATGATAGTGTCAAGATTTCTGCAAGTAGGTCGAATATATTTTTTGAAGGTTAAATAGCTCCATAAAAATGGCGGCTACGAGATAATAGCGCTGCTAGGTCCGCCGCCTCCAAATTACAGTCATTACGATTAACAATGTAACGGGAATACCAGGCGAAGAAATGAGTTGCTGAACATATTTTTCGTTCTATTATTTCGTCACATAAATGCATCAGTGAACATTGCCTGTCCAACCATCAGAATTCATTACACAAAAATAAAATGGATTACATCTCGATTTTGACAATAGACAATAAAAAATTCTTAAGCAAAGAGGTACTTCAAGAAATAGCTTCTCTTCATTTTCACAATTCATTACACAATAATAAAATGGATCTCGAATTTGGCAATAAACGATAAAAAGTTGTTGAGTAAAAAGGTATTTTATGAAATGCTTCTTTTAATTTTCACTCTTCAATTATGCACACCTATTGCTGAGTCCAAAAAATATTTGGAAAGCATATGCCAAAAAGGTGGTGAAAACCCAGGTAAAATTGCCAAATCCACGGAAAGTGGCGCAGAAAAAATGGTCCGTGCGATCGGCTGATTTTTTTATTCCCTTTCCAGTGAAACGAGCCGTCGATTAGGCTCAATCGAGAGTGACAGAACCGTTGAACGTTCAGGTCTGCACGGTCCGTGAACAACGCCGCTTCGAGTCGTTTGAGACCCTACTCTGGCTTCCTTTCGGATCGCTGGAAAATATAAATTAGGCTAAACGGACCGTGCCGCGAGCAGTTCGATGCGAGTCCTCGATCGAAAATGTTTAGAAATCATCTAGTGACGCGTTCTCATTGAAAAACCGTCCGCGATCGAGAACCCCTAATCTCGCGTCGTGATCGATGAAAGAACAATCGTCAGTTTTTTGAGCGTTCACGTAACCGTTGCCGCGCCACCGAACAAATCGCGGAACGTGTCCCGTGAAAGTACGATAACAGCAAAGTGCCCGAACGTGTTCGCGAAATGGTCGGTCCGGAAGACGTCAACGGGCACGATGACTGTGACTAGTTCGTCAGTGGACAAGAATCTCGTGATTTGACTTAACTGCATTGCGATGGCAAGATCACAGTGACGACATGAATCGAACATTGTTTCTCCTGTTGCTGGTGGTTCTCGAATCCCGAGGGAAGTTGATACTGGATGCGCCGTATTCAGGAACCTCCAGCAAACTAAACGAAGAAAGAACGCCTTTTAATTTCACGAAAGATGAGTCGATCGTCGAGGGACCAGAACCGATTTCGAGGCAGGAAGACCCCGAGTCCTCGGAAACTGTGTTCCATAATAAAGTTCAGAGGTCTTTGGAGGATGAGGATGACGAGGAGTCAGAGGAGGATCCAGAAGGTCCTCCCGATCATGTAATCCCGTATTCCGACCACGAAGAGCCGGGAAACGTATCGACGAAGCCCAAGTACGTCGGTCCGGGTGAATGGGCCAAACCACCGAAGAACAGTGACGTTCCTCTAGACTTTGTACCCACGAAATTGTACGCGCAGGTGAGGAAGACGCACACAGTGAGGAGGCTGCCTCGAAGGAAAGCGCTGGAGTACGCAGAGTCTGAAGAGGAAAAGGAAAACGCGGCGAGGCTGAGAGAAGTGGTGAGAAACTCTAAGGTGAATACCGTTTACACCGAAGAGGGTTATGAAGATTCCGCTTACGATCACGGTGGCCACGTCAGGGATGCAGATTTTGAAGAGGAATACGCTCGGAAAGTTCAGGAACGTTTGAAGGACAGGAAAAGAGTCGGAGACGATGCTGAACAGAGTAAGACTGACCCTGAGGACTACGAAGATTACGAGGATCACAAAATTGCCAGCAATATTGTGAACGAGAGGAACGAGAAAGTGTATCCGAAAGTGGTAGTTGAAGAGGGAATAGAGCAGCTGCAGGATGATCTGGAAAGAGAGGCTGAAGAGACAGAGAAAAGATTCGAGATCGGTAAACTGGATGAGGACGGAGATTCGAAGGAAAATGGCGAGAAGAAAGTTAGAAAACGAAAGAAGCCGTCGAAGAAATCGAAGATCGACGGAGAAAGTGTGGAAGCTACGACGATACCGATTGAAGCTACGACTCTAAACTTTGCTCCGTACAAATACGAGACCCACGAAAATTCGCCGGTTGTGAATGTCCAGAAAGCTGAAGAGAATCCAACGACCGTCAGTTACAGCCAAATCTTCTGGGATTACTTCAAGAAGAAGCAGAGTGAACCAACGAGTCAATCTTCGACCTCGATAGATTCGACGACTGTGAATCCAAACTATCTGCAAGCTTCAACTTTAGGAAACACACTTGCGCCATATTCTTTTTATGGAGAAGAAGCCACGACATTGTTTCCGGCCATAGACTCGTCGGTTTTCGATGCAAAGAATCCTGAATTTTTGGTCGACCCAGAATTCAAGAACGATCAGAATCAATTATCGCGTTCGAAGAACACTGACATTAGTGAATTGTGGCAGCCTATTTCCAATGAACCGACAACGACGGACGCGCAATATCTGGGAACGTACGACGAGATCATGAACGACCAAGGAATTCCGTTTTCGAATTTCGTGAGGAATCTAGACAGCAAGGAGTCCAACATGGACGGTTCTCTATTCACTCCGTCACTGAATTTAGTGATGAATCGCAAGCCACGTTACAAAATTGCCGTCAGGCAAAAGCCAAAGAAGACCAGTGAACATTTTAACAAAAAATCGACGAAAGAAACACGAGTAGAAAGCACGACCAGGAGTATTCCCATGCACGAGAACTATATGAAAGTTCTGATGCACCTGAAGAACGAGAAAGCGAACCATCGTCACCCAAACAGTCTGCAGCCGAACTATCCACCACCGAATTTGAATGACGATCCGAGGAAGAGGAAACCTTTGCAGAATATGAATAATTATTACAATTATTTACCGCACGGATCGAGAGAGAATACGTTCGTCAATCAGAGACCACGTCAGGTTCGCAAGAATCGTCCGCGTCAGACGCATCCAGAGATCGTTCAAAGACCACCGTCACGTAACAGGAATCTGTTGCCCGCTTTCGATCTGCTTCCTCCATCGCCGTTTTTGATCGATGACTTCGCCAGGGCGAAAGAAACAATCGATTATCTAACCGGAAACGGGTCTAACCAAGCCAGAAACCTTGTGAGACCGTACCGGCGGGCCGGCTCGATGGAATCGATCGCTGGAATCCGCGCAAAAAGGCGCGAAAGAAGATCGGCGAACGAAGGGGTCGGAGAGGACGTGAAAGGCTCGCGTCCGGCAAACAATGACGCGACGAATCGCGGCGAAATAGAACAGTCAGCTAAAAATTCGTCGGTCGAGAGAAATTCGCAGCTGAAAGCAAACAGCGGTCTGCAAGTAGCACTCGTTCCGGATACGTCGGCGGAAAAACGAATCGGCGAGAAGAAATCGGTCCAGGGAAGAGAGTTACAAGAGGGGCGTGTCGACGAAAGAGAAATCCGTACTGAGGGCGATTTAGAATCCTTCAAGTATAACGATGACGAGAAATCGAACGCTGGATCGAAGAGCCACGAAGAGCTTCTGAACGAGGCGCCTCGTTTGACGAATGATGTTATACAGAAGGAAATCGACGCTAGGTTTAACGGGCAGAAAGAAGAGGAAGATACGCAGGGTGACGTAGAAGTTGAAGTGCCGGATTTCGATTATGTGGAGGAACTAGTTGAGGAGAACCAACCTGACATCGAAACTGAATCCAGCGTTGAAGGTAATGTGGACCTGCAGAAATACCCTTTTTATAACAGTGAAAAAATACCGACACCATCTGCGTTGAAGTACGCCATTGACCCTGGGAGATTACCCAGGAAGACGTACGGTGGTATGGAGTTTTACGGATCGAGGGACGCGTACAAACACTGCGAGGAGGTTGAGCCCACTTTGAAGGTGGTGCCAGAAAAAGAGGAGCCAGTTCCAGAGAGAGGTCCAGAAGAGAATCTCCCTCGTCTTCGTGGCTTAGGGGATAAACTGGATTGCTTCAAGGCGAAATACTTTGACAGCGACCCCTTCGACAACCCACTGTTCCTGGAGAAAGAAGTCGAAGATCCCAGCCCTCCTGCCGAGCTGGACACCAAACGGTTCGCTTCGAGAATCATGATGTTCCCGAAGCAAAGCGATGATTATGTTGTTCAGAAGTCCTCCAGGAAACCGGAGAACTATCGACGACCCCGCAAACCGAGTTCCAACGCGATTAGGTCTCAGAAACCGAGGCGCGTTGTTTATAGAACGTACCCTGGAACGGGAAGAGGAAAGAGACCTCGAGTGTACAGGGTGCAGGGAGTTCGAGTGAAGTACCCGAATGGTTCCAGAAGACCGCAGAAGGTTGTTAAACGACCCGTGACTTCTGCGAGCGACGTGTGGTCTATGTACTTGCCTTTCCAAAGTCAAGTTTACGAAGATGTGATGGGTACCATAAGAAACATGGCGAACTCGTATCAAGTTTACGAAGTAACTACTTTGCCGACCTCGGATGAGGTCACCGTCGATGGAGTCGATGATGTCAAAATGAACGTGTCCACAGATTCGAGCAGGTATGGTAAGAAGGACGAGGCAGGGGATATAAAACGTCCGCATAAAACGGATAGGAATATAGAAGGCATGGTGCCCCCGAAATATCGACCTCAGAATGGATATCAGAGGATAAGAATTCCGCAGAAAAATCGAACCAGGGTGCAACACTTGAGAAAATCGAATGGATTGAGAGGAAATCGTCCGCAAAAGATTCGTGTTTACAAACGAGATTTAAGAGACAAGGAAAATGAAGGCGCGAGTTCCTTGGAGAAGAAAATGTTTCCAGATTCCGAAGACAATGAAGAAGTTGATTATTTAAGCAGAACTGTTGTTAAGACACACAATTCGGTTGTTAAGAATGACACAGCTGACGATGATCTCAGTAGAAGAAATTCAACAACTTCTAAAACCAGTGACATCAAGAGAAAGTCCAAGGTGCCAAAGAATGTTTCAAGTTCTGCAGATGAAGAACAAAAGAAGTCACAGAAGATTGTCTACACGATCAAAGATAGAATCAGGTATTCGAAACCGAAGGGAGAAGGGAGATTTGGGAAATTTAATGAGACTGAAGTGCGGGAGGACAAACGAAGAAGAGAGCCCACGTACAATTACATCAAAAGAAGAAAACCTTTGAATCGTCCTTCTACAACGGAAGTTGAAATTACCTGGACAGAGTCAAGTATTTCTACCGCGACATTACCGAACGAGTACATCGAGCAAATCGACAAAGAACCTGCGAAAGATTTGAACAAGCAGCTTCCTGTGGAAGAAATCAGCGACCAAAGCCTTAACACGTCCACGAAACTCGAGGAGCAAGATCAGAGTTCGAATAAGTTGTCTAACAATAGCAAAGGTTACGCGGTTTACGAAAACGTGAACGAAAGTGAAGAAACCACGAAGAAACCTCACACTGAGACTTCTTCAGAATTCAATTTGAAATCCTTCTTGGAGACCGACTCTCCAAAATTCACGGACACTTCGGAAGAGCTGAGGAAAGTATTATCCCCGAACAATTCTCATCATTTCAAATTCGAATCCGATTCCACGAACATCGGGGACAAGAAACTTGAAGAAGAGAACGCTTCTTTCGAACACAATTCTAACGAGGCGTCCTCGGAGAAGCTAGACACGAACGTGCAGACGAGTACGGAGTCCTCGGAGGAAAGCGATTCGAAGGAGAGCGAGTCAGAAGAGCACAGTTCGTTCTTCAAGTACGAATCCAGGCCCTCTTCGCCGTCCGAGAATTACGAAGACGAAAAGTACGCGGAACTCGGGCCTCGAGTGAACAAACCTGCATTCTTTCATCCTCCTTTCTCTTTTTCCAGGATATCGAAAGGAAGCTCGGAGGAAGCTGACGAGAGCGAAGAGAAAGAGTACGTGTTCCCGTGGTACAGGGACAAGGAAAACGAACGGAGGAGGAGACGAAATCGCGGGAGGATTGGCGAATACGAGTATCCTTGGGAGAGGAGAGAACGTTTGGCACGCGAGGAGAGGAAGAAGCGTAAAGGATTGAGAAGCTTCGACGATGAAGATGTCGAAGACACGTCTCTGCATCAGCGTAGAATTTATCCTCGAGGAAAATACCGTTTCTGGAGCCGCAAAGACGCTTCTGAAGAGAATATTTCCGATGCGTTGGGAAGCAGCAGCGAATATCGGCCGATTCGGAAATACAGCAGTAAATATAACGCGAAGAGTACTAAGCTACCGATTAAGAAGCTGAAGAATTTAAAGTCGAAACGTTTGGACGAAATAAAGAGGTCCATCGAGAAGTCTTTAGAAGGTAATTCCACGGAAAGCGATTCTTATAAAGAAAGAGGTACCTCCAGAGGAATCGTTCCTGAGGACGTCACTTTGGAACCCGTTGCAAGGAACAGGAAGAAGGTGAGAAATTCTAGCGATGTCGAAGGTAGAAATTCCAGCGAATCGATAAAGAATTCGAAGGATTCTGAAATAACGGTGCTGAAGAGTGTCGGAGAAAGCAGGAATTCTACGGAGCGTTCGAATAAGAAAAGACGAAGACCAGCGAAGAACTCGATTTCTAACGCAGAGACCGTAATAAGATCCGGTGACGATTCTAATCGAACTCGTCGGAGACAGAAATCTGGGTTAACTACGCCTTCTACGATCACCTCCGCTTCTACGGCGAGCACGACTTCAGCGTCCAGGGTGGCTCGAAGGAGAAATCAGAAATCAGTCAAGGATTCGAAGAGAACTGCCGGTAGAACCATGAATCAGTCGAACAATGGTGTCAACAACGCGACAGAGGTTTCGAAGAGCAGCACGAATCGATCTAACGCGGAGAGTGGACAGAATGGCGGAAAGAATCCAACGAACGAAATACCCGATCAAACGAAGGACGAAACTAGACAGGTATCGGAAAATTCAGACAAGGTGAAATCATTCGATAAAAATAACGAGGAGCAGAAGAATAATTTAGAGAATAAAAAGTCTGATAAGGATTCGAAGACTGTTGATGAAATTAGTAAATTGAATCAGAAGTTTTCTTCGGATGACGATGACAAGAAATTCGATTTTAAGGATGACAGAATAGAGCTGTTGAGCGATTTTGATAAATCGGAGGATATTTCGGACGAGGAATTTGAAAGTGCTTTGAAAATAGATGCAGGTACTGCACCGAACAGAGCGGTACAATTATCTGAACAAGAATCCAGAGAAGTCGTCTCTTCCGTTTCCTGGATATCGGAGAACTACAATTTCTAACGATGAGTTCTTTTTACTTTTATCTTATTGCATGATGATTGAAAATTGAGAGGAAAGGGAAATTGAAAGTTGGTTAAAGTACAAATTTTATGGAGTACTTTAACCGGGTGTTTGTACAAATCGCCTTTTTCTGGATCTTTCAATTTAGGCTGATTTCGAATTTCGGATAGATTTACTGATTTACTATTAAATTATTTTATTTGACTATTTTGTTACTCTACTGTTTTACTATTGACTATTATTTTACCATTAAAATGTTTCACAGATTTTTAGTTACGTAACATTATATATTTGTTATGGTTGTTTATCTGTTATTTGTGTTGTATATACAGTGAATTATTTTCAATAAAGATAAATAGGTCATCATATTTGGTTCCTTTTTTTAATATATATAGGAGATTTAAAAATTTGTAATTCTCATAAGGATAAAATTGCTATATTCCTGTGTCACTAGATTCCTAAAACTATCACAAAAGATACTAAAACTATTATTAATGATCACTAGGTTTCTGAAACGATGTGTTCTGAATTTCTATGCTGTCAAGTTCCTATATTACAAATTTCTACGTTCTCAAATCCCTATATTTTCCAAATTTCTACACTCCCAAATCTTTACGTTCTCAAATACATACACTCCCCAATCTTTACGTCCCCAAATTCCAATATTTCAAATCCCTACATTCCCAAAACTCAATATTTTAAATCCCTACATCCCCAAATTCCAATATTTCAAATCCCTACATTCCCAAATTCCAATATTTCAAATCCTTACATTCCCAAATTCCAATATTTCAAATCCCTACATCCCCAAATTTTCACTCCCCAAATCCCTGAACTTCAAAATCTCTACGTCCCCAAATCCCTACACTCCCAAATCCCTATATCCCTAAATCCCTATATCCCCAAATCTCTAAATCCCTAAATCCCTAAGTCCCTAAATCCCCAATCCCTAAATCCCCATTCCCTAAATCCCCAATCCCTAAATCCCTAAATCCCTAAATCCCTAAATCCCCAATCCCTAAATCCCCAATCCTTAAATCCCCAATCCCTAAATCCCCAATCCCTAAATCCCCAGTCCCTAAATCCCTAATCCCTAAATCCCCAGTCCCTAAATTCCCGAATCCCTACCTCTCTGCATCTCTAAATCTTGCTTCTCAACTTAATCAATATCTATAAAGTCTCTAAATTACTATTGTTGCTCAATGGCTTTCGTCAGCTGGATATCCTTGATCTAATTTAAATCCAGTTGTGTGTCACAATATCCCCGTTGGATTTAGCTTGCAGTAGTTTGTCAATGATTATTTTGTCATTGCGAACCGATCATCGATTATTTCTCTCTTTAGATACATTATAACTAACGTCGTATTATGTCGTCAAGGGATAATGATGCGTGATATTGCAGTACTGTTATACCAATTACCCCATAGTTAAGGAATAATTGTTTTTATTTAGCTAGATGCGCTTACGTGGTTCATGGTCTGAATACCATCGCGGTTAGAAAATTATATAGATAAAATTAATTAATCATCAGCCTGAGCTTGATGATCAGAGATGTGAAATAGGGTAATTGTGTGCACGGATATTAATTGATATTAAGTTACTTCTGAATATTCATTTATGAATATCGCTGCTTCGTTTTTTACCAACTTTTACTCGGTAATTTGTTATAATGTTACTTGTTAGGGATTGCTATTGAAGTTCTGCATTTTAATGATTTTTGTCGGTAATTTTAATTGGCTGGTAGTAATTTTGCTTTAGGTATGTTTTTGTCAATTTCAAAGAGACATTATTATTGCCTAATTTTCAATTTCCCAAAATCTCGAATTCCACATTTCCCAAATTTCATATTCCCGAATTCCACATTCCCCAAATTCGACATTCTCAAATTCCAAATTCCCCAAATTTCACATTCCCAAATTCTCAATCCCCTAAATTCCAAATTCCCAAATTCTCAACCCCCCAAATTCCACATTCTCAAATTCTCAACCCTCCAAATTCCACATTCCCAAATTCTCAATCCCCAAAATTCCACATTCCCAAATTCTCAACCCCCCAAATTCCACATTCCCAAATTCTCAATCCCCAAAATTCCACATTCCTTAAATTCCACGTTCCCCAAATTCCACATCACCAAATTCCACATTCCCAAATTCTCAATCCTCCAAATTCCAAATTCCCAAATTCTCAACCCCCCAAATTCTGAATGCTCCGAATTCCAAATTCCCAAACTCTCAACCCCCCAAATTCCACATTCTCAAATTCTCAAACCCCCAAATTTTCAAATCCCCAAATTCTCAAACCCTCAAATTCTCAAGTCCCCAAATTAAAAATCCTTAACTTCCAAACCCCAAATTCTCAAATTACTCAATTCCAAATCCCAAAATTCCTAAACATCGAAACGTCACATCCCCAAATCCCTACTCACAAAAATCCAAAAAGTTCTAAATTTCCAAATTCGAAAACCTTACTCCGTTTATTCGATGTGAACGGTAGCTTAGCGTTCGCCAAGGTTAAGGTGGACGATACCGCGTTTAGGTACGCACTGCATTCTAATAAAATCCTGTATCGATGAATAACACTCGATACTGAAAGGGAATACTAAGCCTCGATTGGTCAACCACGAGGCCGAGCCCCGTATATAATTCGATCTTTAGTTTAATGCTTTAGTTTCCTTCTGGTCTCGCGTCGCGGCTGCGAAAAGGTCAATATGCTTCCTTTAAAGGTACGTTTACGTTACTTGTGCTCGTTTCGAGTCGAAATTAATTGTAATCAGCTTCGTAGTGATTTTATAACTACAAAACCTTATCGTAAAAGTAAACGGTGTGCTATGTTCTTTACTGTCAAGGTGAACCGTAATCGAGGAAACATGTATTATTTATCCAGTGAAGTGAAATCGAATTATGTTGTTGTAACGTAAAAGTTACTTAACCAAGTGTTTTATAAGTATTGCTTAATCGGGTTAAATCATGTTCCGTTCATTTCTCTATCTACGCAAAATTGATGCTGAACTTTTTGAGTTTTATAAAATATGTATTATTCAAGTTGATTTTGCCAAAATGTCACATTAAGTGAATTTATATGAAATTTAATTTAAAGTTCAGTTAGGTAATTGAATGATCACAATGAGGTGTTGAAAAGTGTAATGAAACATGAACATTTAAATTTGTTTGTCAAAAATATTTATTTAATTTAACATTTATATCGAATTACTTAGGAAATATAATAAAATGACATTATCTAAAAAATTCAATAGAAATGTTGATTAAATTGATTGGATACAGGAGGTACTTCAATTCTATTTTCTTAATGAATATTAATGAATGATAGCTGTTCATAATATAAGTATATACATCCTTATGTTGACAAACTTCATAAAATATTTATCAAATATTAATGACTAAAAAGTACCATAACCTAAACACTCATATCTTATGACAAAGAGTATATCTTACAAGCTATATTTGAATACGGGCAAAAATAATCTTTAATATGAATGTGTACATCATATATCAAAGTTTAGTACACGTGAGAAGAAAATTTGCAACCTCGAATCAACCTCGATGAATTTTATAATTTGAAACTATTTTAATAGTACCGATTAAAATAACATATGTTGTACATATCGTCGGAGGTGTACATGTATTGTCCTTGAGGTGAGAATTTGGAGTTCATAAAACGAACCGCCAGAACAAAAAGTGAAAATAGTCGAGAACGCGAACGTAATACGAATCACGTGAATAACACCGTGAGAGGCGATTGCGTCCTCGAAGGTCCATATGTTTCACAGCTCTAAGAACATTGGAAGCATGTTCAATGAACTTTCCTGATCGAATGTTGAGAATTACGTTCTCCTTGAATAAAATCACCGAGGATACGCTGAAATTACCGCTTCGATTCTGCAAACTCGCGTAATCGTTCTCTCGCGTTATCGCGTATTGGAATTCCTCCACTCCTAAGATGGAAGAAACGTTCAAATTTTCAGCTTGTAATCATATTTTCTGAACTAACCAGCGAACAACGACGATGATGAAAATAGCCTTGGATTGCCTAAGAGTAACCTTATGCTCCTGTATCATTTGATCTTCGATTTCGTACTCGAGTTTCACTTGTAGGTATTTCTTGAGCAACGAACTTGCATACTTATTATATCAAAATAAGAGCATTTTCGCTGTGCATTCAGATGAAAGTGTTGTGGTCACTCGGATCTAGTCCCTCTAGCGAGGTGGAAATAGAATATTGGAGAAAGTGAGGGCACTTAGCGAGTAATAGATAACGTTTCGAACAAGTTTATCTAACATTTCATAAAATTTATGTATGGACTGTGCGAAATGAGGCAAATACTGGCGCGTGAACATTGGCGTAACTAGGATTTTTGTTTGAGGGGAGTTGCTTTCTGATCGTCATACGTTTAAATCACCGCACGTTGCAATTTTTCGTATTAAATTTCCATGCGTTGCTTAGTCATACGTTAGATCACTATGGGTTAGATCACCATGAGATGAATCACCACGCGTTAAATCACTGTGCATTCGAGTTTGTCGCATTAGATTTCTCCGCGTTATAACACCACGCGATATATTGTCACGCGCTAGAATTGCCACACGATAGAATCGCTACGCGTTATATCACCACGCGCTATATTGCCACGCGATATATCGCCACACCTTAGAATTACCGCGCGTTATATCACCACGCGTTAGAATCGTCGCGCGTCACATCACCACGCACTATATTGCCACGCCTGAGAATTGCCACACGTTAGAATCGCCACGCGTTAGAATTGTCACGCGTTATATCACCGCGTGTTATATCACCACGCATTAAATCGCCAAGCGTTAGATTTCCACGTATTAGATTACTACGCATTGAATTTCCACAAGTGAGATCGCCCCGCGCTATATTCCCATACGCTCCATATTTCCACCCATTATATCGCCACGCACTATATCGCTTTGAATCATAATTCTCCACGCTTTATATCGTCACGCGTTATATTCCTCCACGAACCACATTCTCACGGGTTATATCACCACTCATTATATTGCCACGCCTTAGAATTGCCACACGTTAGAATCGTCACGCGTTAGAATTGTCACGCGTTATATCACCACGCGTTAAATCGCCAAGCGTTAGATTTCCATGTATTAGATTACTACGCATTAAACATCCCCAAGTGAGATCGCCACGCGTTATATTCCTCTACGCGCCATATTTCCACGCATTATAACGCCACGCACTATATCGCTTTGAGTCATAATTCTCCACGCTTTGTATCGTCACGCGTTAAATTTCTCCACGAAGCACATTCTCACGGGCCATATCACCACTCGTTATATTACCACGCCTTAGAATTGCCACACGTTAGAATTGCCACGTGTTAGAATTGTCACGCGTTATATCACCACGTGTTAGAATTGCCACGCGTTATATCACCACGTGTTAGATTCGCCACGTGTTATATCACCACGCGTTAAATCGCCAAGCGTTAGATTTCCATGTATTAGATTACTACGCATTAAATTTCCACAAAGGAGATCGGCACGCATTATATTTTTCTACGCTCCATATTTCCACGCATTATATCGCCACGCACTATATCGCTTTGAGTCAAAATTCTCCACGCGTTGTATCGTCACGCGTTATATTCCTCCACGAACCACATTCCCACGTGTTATATCACCACTCGTTATATTGCCACGCGTTATATTGCCAGGATTCAGTTACCTTCCGTTAAACTTTCACGTATTATATCGCAACGCATCAATGTGTATTAAGTAGTCACGAATCCCAAACGAGAGATCATCGCGTATTCCCACTCTTTATATTGCCATATTTAATAACGAGACTAGTCTGCATTCTAACGAGGTCCAGGTCCACATTGGGACCGTAACTCGATAGTTACGCCAATGTATGTAAATAACGACTCACTTTCTAATAACGATTTTCAATTTGTGTAATTGCTTGCATATAATATTCTGTGTTGTTTGAATTTGCACGAAAGTCACTTGCACAGATGTTAATCAATAAACAATTATACATAATGTTACTAATTGTCACGATATACGGTAATTCTGAGTGTGAAGTATGATTTGTTTTAGTATGATGCATAATTTACATGAATCTGCACAAACATAGAAGAGTTGTGAAACGGTGCGAATTAGTAACAGTTCCGGTATTAATAATTAATTATTTACAGCCTGCTTTGCTGATTATTGTACTTGGTTTGATCAAGTTACCGACAGTCGCTCCAGACAGTGCAGGAATCGTGGAAATGGTGAACGGATTGGCGTATGGTAAGTTAGGTTTCTTACATTGCTTTTGTAATGCACGATTTATACATAAATCTTAAGTTAGTATCTTTGCAAGACATAGATAAGACTGTATTTGATTATTATTTGTATATAAACTAAAATTTAATTCGGTTGGTATAAAAAGATGTATTGATATTTCATACTTGAACGAGTTAACACAGAGGACGACACTATTACGTATCAGATTACTTCAACGATTTTGAACTTTTCAAATGTTCTATTCCATCAAGTTTATGAAGTTCGAAATTTTTAAATTCTGAAATTTTCAAATTTACAAATTATTGCAGCCTAAAATTCTCACATTCCCAATTTCCTATGCCCCCCATTTCCCACATACCCACATTTCCACGCCCCTGGAATGTCTACGTCCTCAAATTCGTAAATTCTTAATTCCCTAAATTTTGAAATTCCCAAACTTCCATATCCCCAAATCCCCACATCTCCAAATTATCATATCCCCCAATTATTACATCCCAAAATTCTTATATTCCCAAATTCTCATATTCCCAAATTCTCATATTCCCAAATTCTCATATTTCCAAATTCTCACATCCCCAGATTCCCAAATCCCTAATTTCTCAAATCCCCAAATTCTCACATCCCCAGATTCCCAAACCCTTAATTTCTCAAACCCTAATATCTCAAATCCCCAAATTCTCACATCCCCAGATTCCCAAATCCCTAATATCTCAAATCCCCAAATTCTCACATCCCCAGATTCCCAAACCCCTAATTTCTCAAATCCCCAAATTCTCACATCCCCAGATTCCCAAGCCCTTAATTTCTCAAGCCAGATTCCCAAATCCCTAATATCTCAAATCCCCAAATTCTCACATCCCCAGATTCCCAAATCCCTAATATCTCAAATCCCCAAATTCTCACATCCCCAGATTCCCAAATCCCTAATATCTCAAATCCCCAAATTCTCACATCCCCAGATTCCCAAATCCCTAATATCTCAAATCCCCAAATTCTCACATCCCCAGATTCCCAAACCCCTAATTTCTCAAATCCCCAAATTCTCACCACCCTAATTTCTCAAATCCCCAATTTCCCACATTTCCAATTCCTCACATCTTCATATTCCTAAATTTTCAATTCCCCAAATTCCTCCATCCCCAAATTTTCAAATTTCTAAATCTCCAACAACTTAAATTTCTAATTCTCAAAACCCCTTTTTCTCCGTCAAATTTTCTAATACTTGTCCACTAATTACACTTCTAATTTCAGGTGGTATCCCATACGGAAGCGTGACTGGCATGGTAGCAAAGTATCCAGGATTTATGAGGCAACAAATTCAAGCTCAACAACTGAACGCTTTCAGAGGCGTTCAACCACTCGCTGGCAACCCTAATTTCGGATCCGCGAGATTAGTAGGAGTACAACCACAAACCGTGCGAATTTATAATGTTCCAAGTGTCGTTGGCTCTCTCGGACAAATACGATATTGAACGTAATTAGTCACCGGATATTAAGGCATTAAAATCAAAGTACAAAAATTTCAGCGAAGTTTATGTACGACAAGTTTCCATTTCATTACGTCTTTTGTCGCAGTATGTATGTATGTGTATGCGTTTAGAAAATTCATTAGCGTCATTAAAGCTAGAAAAAACGTTGTAGAGTTATTTATTTTACATCATTATTATTTTATGAATTCACATCATTATTTTATGATTAAAATATTTAAATTGTGTAATACTTAAAAGCAGCAAAAGTACTTGAGTACTATATAATACTCGAAGAATATTTGGATGTTCCAAAAATTTAATAAAATATCTGTATACGTGTGTGGATTTTGATTTGACAGAGAAATAAAGCTTTGAAAAATCTGAATGTCAAATGTTTAACAAACCAGAAGTATGAATAAGAAATACAATGCAAATTTGATGAAGTTGACAAAAAGCGTTAATTAAAATTCCACGCTTTGACGGTATCGTTTTTATCATGCCGGGTTTACTGAATCGTTAAGCGAAAAAACGAGGAAAATTACAGGGATACTTTGACAAGTAATGAATCATTTGACGATTGATAGCTTTCTCTGTTAACAAAAAACATTTTGATTGTGGAGGTTAACGAGGCTCGTGGCACAAAATTTAGATACTCATTAGCAGATGAGTTACAACCTGTGGAATGCAATTATGAAGTTTGAGGAACTTCGCGAACGTGGATCGTTATCATTTTCCGTTCATTAGGTGTTTTTGCGATAAGGTGTTTAATTTCAGTTCTTAATACTTTGTAATTTCACGGATATAGTTCGGGATTTATCTATGTTAGATTAATTTTATCTGCGTTATATTAGGAGTATTAATAAAGTATTTAATTTCAGTTCTTAACACTTTGTGATTTCACGGATATAGTTTGGGATTTTTCTATGTTAGATTAATTTTATCTACGCTATATTAGGAGTATTAATAAAGTATTTAATTTCAGTTCTTAACACTTTGTAATTTCACGGATATGTAGTTTGAGATTTATCTGTATTAGATTAATTTTATCTGCACTATGTTAGGACTATTATTTATGTTACTAAATTTATATTACTGTAAGATCGTTATCTACATAGCAGTAAAGTTGCTCTCTACATACCACTAAGATTATCTACATTGCAGTGAGGTTATTTTTACATTGCAATGAAGTTATTATCTACATTACAGTAAGGTTACATTAAAATTATTATCTACATCATCGAAGATTATTATCTAAATTACATTAATCTTCAAATATTTCTCGCTTCTACTTGTAAAGTTAATACTCTGATGTCCGTAATGAAATTAAAATTCCGTTGCATGTTAAAATCATCGGCCATGTTTTTCCCTCGCACTCGAGTGCTTTACTGCGTGATTTATCATTTGAATAAAAAATTTACTGATTCATTTCAAAGTTGCTTCCAAATATTGAAACAATTTTAATTTTAATTGTAAATTAATTTTTTATCGGAACTCAAGTTTTCTATTGTATTCACTCAACTTGTATGTTGAGAACTTATGGCTTACAGAAAAGTAGTCGAATATTTTCGAAAATTTTATGAAACTTAAACTGTATAATTATTCATTCGTAGAATGATAGAGTAAATACATGATACAGTAAATAGAAATAAGAAAATAGTAAATAGCGGTAAGGAGCAGAAGCAAAAATGTGGTAATTACAAATAAGAAACAGAAACGAAAAGATGGTAAATAAACGTAAGAAATTGAAACAAGAAAGGAGTAAATAGAAAAGAAACAAGGAGATTGTAAATAGAAGTTATGCAACAGAAACAAGAAGGTAGTAAATAGAAGTAAGAAACCGACACAAGAAGATAGTAAATAGAAATAAGAAAAAAGAAACAAAAATGTAGTAAATAGAGACATGAAACAGAAACAAAGAAACAGTAAATAGAAATCATGAAACAGAAACAAAAAGGTAGTAAATAGAGGTAACAAACCAAAACAAGAAAATAATAAATAGAAATAAGAAAAAAGAAACAAGAAGGTAGTAACTAGAGGTTAAAAACAGAAACAAGAAAATAGTAAACAGATGTAAAAACAAAACCAAGAAAATAATAAATAGACAGAAATGAAAAAAAAAAAAACAAAAAAATACTAAATACAAATAGGAAAAAACTAAGAAAATTGTAAATAGAAAAGGAAAAAAAGAAACAACCCCCAAATTGGTAAAAATGCTCAAAGTATCGAAATAGATAGAATTCGATGCATGAACGAAATACGCAAAATTGATCGGTATTATAGCAATAGAATTAGGGTAAAAGCGTTTATGGAGAGAAAGTATAAATGACATCGGGCACGGTGTATGACTGTTAGTCATCACGAGTCGCACGCACGATGCATTACCCTCTACACGTGAGTACATTGACGCTAATACAATCCTCGTTGACTAATAGAAAAATAAAGAGCCGACTATTTCCCAATCGCAAGGATGATATTCCTGCATCGATGCACCATGTGGTAACAGGGTCACTTTCCGAACACCAATCGAGAAAATTGATTTTCGTCTTCTTCGAATCTAACTGTGCCTCTGTTGCAATTGTCTCTTGCATAATACGTCAGTTTCGTTTGCATAAATTACTCTTCAATTTTACCTGTGACATCTTTCAGACGATAGATAAACATTCGTAAGATACAGAGTTCACTTTGCACGACTTTCGTTTAATTTTGTATACTAATTGTAAAATGCTGAACGTAGAATTTTGTGGGATATTTTCTATTTGATTTAATCGTGAAAGATATTTTTTTGTGATATAGTATCTTGAAATATTTTATAGTTGGTCATGTTAATAATTATTATAGTTTGTGAGTTCTTGGGTATAACTTAGTTATACTTTATGGGTTGAACAAAAATAAAATTAAGACTATTTTTTCAATTTTTTTTATTTCAATCTTCATAACATTCATAAAATGAAATAAACAATTTACAAAAATTACTATCATGATTTATTTGTTATTGCTTGGTGCATACAAAATTTTTTTGGATTATAATCAAAAAACTGTCGTAGCAAACGCCAATGACGTGTTTTATATTATTACAGTAATTTAAATATTACATATCAATTAGAGTAACAAACTGAAGTTAATTACTGGAAATAATTGGAACTTTAGCTGATATTGTTTACGCCGTTATTAAACATTTAATAATTTCCGTCGTGACATGAATTCGGTGGTGCAAGAAATTTCGTAATTGCGCTCGTTTATCATTTTATGATTTACAACGTGATTTATACCTGCCAGATAAACTCTTAATGAATCGTTCATCTATCCATCACGAAATCCGTATATTTGATGCACGTCCTTGCATGAACAAAAGATTAAACGTTACATAATTGTGTTAATTGCAACCTGTGTAAAACAATACAAGTATAGGTGTTTGAATATTTGTCTGAGAACTTGTTCCACTCGAGGTCCGTCCAATTAATCGTTAATAAATATCTGTCTGAAACATAAATTCCATAAGCTCACCCTGACTTCTAATTGCCGAACATATTCACACGATAGTTTAAAAGAAACGTAGTTCATTGAAAAATATAAACGATTGTTTATTCAATTAGCATCAAGATTTTTACATCGCGTGTAAAAGTTTCTCTTTTTCGAGAGAAATTCATTGAAATCGTTCATTGATTCGTTTCTGACGATTCTGCAAGAGTTTCACTCGGTACTTTATTTTAGATCGAGATAGTGGTCATTCATGAGAACGCCACGTGTGTTTTATTACGAGCACGGTGCAGCTCGTAGAAATTAACCTTCGTGAATGAATAAACCATGAATGGAACGATACAATTCGTTCTGACTTTATTTATTGCTGATCGTTGAATGTTGGAGCACAAACTTTTTTATGGAAGTTATTTTTCAAACTGGGTTTATTGTGTATCTCTAGGTTTCTGTGTTCCAGAATATCAGAATTTCTAAATTTTTATATTCTTGAATTCTTAGATTACTAGGCTTCTATATCCATACATCCCTAGATTTCTAAATTTCTAAATTCCTAGATTCACAGTTCTCTATATCCATTAATTCCTAGATCAGTAGATCTCTAGATTTCCAAATCCCCAGATTACTATATTGGTAAATTATATGTCCTCGGATTCCTATATTTCCAGGTTTTGTAACCCTAAATCCTTATATCCTCAAATTCTCACATTCCCAAATCCCTATACCCATTGACTTCTATGTTTGTAAACCCCTATATGTCCCTATATTCCGTATCCTCAGATTTACATATTCGTATACATCCCTATTTTCTATGACAGAATAATATTTTGTAACTTCTTAATATTATTATAATTCTAAATTTTCGCATTATCCCTACATCTCCAACCTAGCCTAACTCCCATGATGTCACGTGACGTTACGTGACCAGATATAAATAAATCAGGAACAACATGAAAAAGTAAAATTTCTTCCTTAGAAATGAACATTTAGATTAATACGCAATTGTACGATTCTATCATTTACAATATAACGAACGAGTAGTAATTCACCGATGCAATTTTCTTCTATGAACCGCTATTAGCGACACAATAATTGCACTCCATTTCCCTGCTTTCCTCGATGCGTTCACCAATATTTAGCAACGCAATTCCGATATTATATAACCGGAATCAATTTTCTCAATAGTACCCGTTTTATTCTTAGAATTATACAGGTTTCAGGAAGCAACACGTTCGATTGATTTGTCAAGATCTCTCGGATGATGCGATTTGTCAGAATAGAACGAGGAACACGTAACAAAAATGTTGTACTCAATTACGAGAAGAAAAAGGAAGAAATATTTGTCGTTCTTTCATACACCTCTTCGATGATTTATTTACTGTTTTTCACGCAATGTCAGTAAATCACTTTTGTATATTGTTCTCATGTACGTTTCTTGTTTAGTATCATTCTTTCTGTTTATAGGTATGGTTCTGAGGTTTATATGTATGGTTCTTTTGTTCTCAATTCACAGACTTTTTTATTTGAAGCAAACTTTTATCTCAACTAAAAAGTGTCGTATTTCAAATAATTTCCTCGAGTAATTTTCTAACGTAGCATTGAAGAATTTTGAAACGTAGAAACTGTCTGTTCGCGCACAAAAATTTTCACAATCCATTGCACCGCCACGTGGAAAGCAAGTGTGTCACGTACGAAACGGTAAGTTTCTTTCATTGCGCAATGACAAATAAAACACATCGTATTATAGAAAATTACCGGGCACGCGATCGCAGGTGGCTCATTACACGGGGCTACGTTACGCAGTCCAAAGAGGAGCCAGGATTTTCCTGATACGAAGGAAACACAAAAAATGCCTATCGTAGACGTACATATATCGACGAAGTTTCAAGTCGAAGAAGTATACAGCGAATCGTACATCGGGTTCCTCCTCGGTGCTATTCGGATAATCACATGTTAAATCTAACAATCGAAATTATACACTGTCACAAATTTCTGCATGAAATGTGAAAATGGAAAGGAAATTCTTATAAAAAAGTCACACGCATGTAAATGGATGAGAGGTTCACCTCTTAAATTAGAAATGATCTGATAAAAATGAAAAAGAGTAAGCTCTCGATTTCGCTCAATTTCATTCGTTTCTTAGAAAATATTTGAACTTGCCTCTGATACAGTTCATGTAAAAAGGACAACTACGTCACTGACTGAGTCACTGATCTGTATTTAAGTAACACGAATGCGTCCGAAGCTAACCGATTAACTATTATTGAACTTCTACTGTTTTCCCTCCAATTTTAAGCGGTAGTTTATGTTTCTACAAAAGTCTGCGATAATGGACAGGTGCAAGTGCGAATTTTCATTTTGTTGTGAAATATTAAAAATATAAGCGAAACAGAACACGACATTTAATCGACACGAACCGAATGCATCCGGAACTGACCGATTTTCCGTCCTGTCGCTTCCCCTGCAATTTTAGAGGTTTAAAGTTGTAGCTTATGATTTTCTTACGTAAGTCTATGGTGACAATCTTTTTTTTTCTGCCGCAGATAACGGTGCTTTTCACGACGCTCTGGATCCTTCGGGATGACGCGTATGCCGTAAAAACCGGATTCAGTAAGACCATTATCATTTCTTTCTGGGAATTCTCGATAATAGTCGCCCATGAACTGCTTATGAAACAATGATGCTCGTTTTTAGATTGATGCATCGACTACACGTTCTACTTTCAACACCTTGATGAACGCACATTTTCAGGAACTTATGACGCCATTATTTTGTTGCAATTTTTATATATAGCAGATGATCTTATATGTAAATTAGCAATTTGACAGTTTGATTTTGTAAACTGTTGGACTTGAATTTTTGTAACATGACATGTTGGTCCGAAAAATCCAGAATTCCTAATTTTTTTAATTGTTATTCACAAGTGACTCTACTCTCGTCATTCGAACGTTAATAATTTCCTTATGGATAGAAAAACGAACATAAATTTGCAAGGGTCATAAATTTCTAACAAGTCAATAAGGAACTGGCAGACATTCGACAAAGTAACTAAGACAACGAACAAAATAGATAAAAAATGGAATTGAAATGTAAAATTGGTCAATCCTGTATAATATTTACAGAACGAGGGCAGAAACGTTTAAAGGGAGAAAGTATAAACGACATACAGTATGATGCATGACAGTTACCCATCACGAGTTGCACGTACAACGCATTATCTGTTACACATGAATCCGTGGACACTAATAGGATTCCTGCTGACAAGAAGAAAAAAGGATACTTTCGTAACCGCGAGATATTTGTCCCGTAACATAAATACTTCATTCTCATCGAAACAAGAAAATTAATTTTTTTAACTTCGAATCTTAGGTAACACAAAAAGCAGAGAGAAAATCTTTTTTTACATAACGGATTTATTTCATTAACATATTTTAATATTCTAAGGGGTTTTTAGCATCGTCAGAAACCTTGAACAAACAATCTACAACAGTTTCATTTTACAATGTTTCAACATGTTAAATTAATTACAACAAAAACGTTAAAACGATTTCGAACTCAATCTGTTGGAATTCATCTTTTTTTTCCGAGGATCAAGATGTATAAATTTTGTTGCATTAATAAACAAGTTGCAAATCTTAGTGATGTGAATGAATAGCATAAATACATAATGTAGGCTTTTATGTTAACAAATATGCTCGAATGATTCGTAACCTGAAGAAGGTATTTATTTTAGCTGTGCATTCAGTATGAAAAAAAAACAATGGTTATATAAATTTTTAAGGTTGTAAAAGAAAGCATTTACTCATGACACTAATATTTCAATAGAAACAAATAATTTCACATTATATCAGCAGAACTGTTGAAAGCTTCTAAGCTTTCTAAAAATTCTAATATTTTCAGATCAAAAATCAAATTGTTCAACCTGATACCGTGAACCAAGTTGAACAATTGACGAGCAGAGGGTGGATTTAAAAAATGTCTAAAAATAATTTATCCGATTTCTAAATTGCCTGCTCGTTTGCATAATAGATGCTGAGGTGCTGACGTCGTTCGCGAAGAACGTGGCGTCGATCCTATCATCGACCTTGTTGGGCGAGTATCAGGACCAATCTGCGAACCAATTATCGTCGACTCTCCTGAAAAAAATTCAGGATGACCCGCCCTTGCTCAACACCGAGAACCTCAACGATCCCAGTTCGGAATCATCGAAATCTTCGAGTCGCCAGCTGCGGCACGCACGTTCATCAAAGGAAGTAAGAGGGGCATTCCAAGACGGTTATGTAATGCCGCACCCGTCAGGACACTCGAAATATTATAATGCGGAGTCGCACGAATACGCGGTGAATCCCGGTGCCAGGATTTCGAACGAAGGGAAATCGGCGAAGAACGTCAACGTGGACACCAAAGGAAATTCCATCGACGCCGACATCAACGCAGCTTCCGTTTATTATTCCAATCGCCACGAGCATTCTCCTAGACTCAGAATCACGAATCCTGTACATCCATCGGTGAATTCGAACCCTTACGGACATCCCGCGTTTCAACCTCGTTATCATCATTCGACGCCTCAGAGCATCGAAGGCTCTGCGAGCGTGGACGGGAACGCTCAAGCAGCTAGAATAACTCGGAGACCGTTCAATCTGAATTACCACGCTTATGTTCATCCTCAACACACGTTCGATAGAGACCCAGGATTCTATCCGTATGGGAGACCGATCGAAGGGAACGGTCAACCTTCACCATCAGCCAGTGGACAGGATGAAAGTAACCCATCTAGGCTGATCGACGACCAGAATCAAGGCCAGACGGCGTTAGGAGGATACGACTACAGTCCACACTTCCACTACAAGCCACCTTACTATGGTGGTTTCTATCATGGCTTCCCTGCTTTTCCGTTCGACCACCGCAACGCTTCCTTCGATCACGGAAACGGCGAACATCCAGGAGGTAATGCCACGGGCGGTTTTGTACCGTACGGTCCGCCAATTTTTCCCGATTACAAATTTAATCCATATTTTCCTTATCATTCGACATTTCCACCGTATTTCAACGGACACAGAAGACCAGCTGATCCACAAAATCCTCCAGATAATGCGGAGAATGGAGAGCAGAGTGTGTCTGCGGAGAATGGACAGACTGATGCGAATGGGACCATGGGACATCGTCCTCCCTACGGATTTGTACCGTATGGTCCTTTCTATGGGGACTTTTATCTGCCAAAATATCCTCTGACGTTTCACGGTTATCCCTATCATTTCCATCATGGCTTCCACAATTTCCCTCCGTATTTTAAACCTGGGCCTTACGTTCACTTTCCTTTGTTTCATTCGTACCCGTACTTTGCTCCGTACTTTCGTCCTCATTTTAATGGCCGGGGACATATGATGGCGGATAAACCTATGCAGGATGCGAAGATGACTGACAATGCTGAATCGCCACCTACGAACGATCAGGCGGAAATGATATCCGAGAGCAAAGCCGATATAGTTCGATACGAGAAGTCTGCTTCGTCTTGGCCTTTCGGCAAAGACATTAAGAAGATATCTGATCGAGTTCAACTAGAAGAAACGTCTTAATATAGCGATATGAATAAAATTAGCGACTTGTATTAGTTTTTGTATTTATTGTGGGAGATTCGGAAAATGAGGAATAAAGATGATATCAAAATATGAGGGATATGCAATTAAAATTTATAAATTTTCTAGAACTTCCTAACACCCATATTCCGAAATCATTGAATTTTTGAATACTCGAACTTTTAAGTTTTAAAATTATTCAAGATCCTAAATCCTCGTATATTCTGAAATTTATAAGGTTCACGATTCTCAAATTTGCAAATGTTACCAAACTTTAAAATTTTTTAAATCCATAATTTTTTAAATTGCAAAATTAAGAGTAGATTCAAAATCCCAAGATCCTAAAATCCTTGAATTCTAAAATTCAAATTCCCAAATATCAATAGTCCCTAAATTCCACATTCTCAATTTTCACATTCCCAAATTTTCAAGTCTCTAATTTCTACATTCCCAAATTCCACATTCCCCAATTCCCACATTCTCCAATTTCCACATTCCCCAATTCCCACATTTCTCAAATTCCACATTCTCCAATTTCCACATTTTCCAATTCCCACATTCCCCAATTCCCACATTCCGCAATTCCCACATTTCTGAAATTCCACATTCCGCAATTCCCACATTTCTGGAATTCCACATTCCCCAATTCCCACATTCTCCAATTTCCACATTCCCCAATTCCATAATCCCAAATTCCACATTCCCAAATTCCATATTCCCCCAATTCGACATCCCCAAATTCCACATTCCACCAATTCCACATTCCCCCAATTCCACAATCCCAAATTCCACATTCCCCCAATTCCACATTCCCAAATTCCATATTCCCAAATTCCATATTCCCCCAATTCGACATCCCCAAATTCCGCATTCCCAAATTCCACATTCCCCCAATTCCACATCCCCAAATTTTTAAACCCCCAAAATCTCAAGTCGCCTAATCCTGGAGTTCTAAATGTTCCAAGTCCTCAGACTCCGAGATTCGAAAATATCGAATATTGCGACTAAACTCTAGATCCATCGATTCGAAGCGGAAACGTTTAATTAGTGCTGACAATTAGTAAAGCGTTGTTGTACGACACGTGCGGTAACTTGGCATTGGTCTGCGAAACGTTCCCATACTTATGATACACAAAAAAGTTCCCATAGCTCTGGTCGGCCTTATGCCGCAATTATATGCCGTGCCCACCACGCATGCCAACTACGGTCTAATAATTTTCGTGGCCTCTGCTGCCAGGGTTTTTGCATATGCGTGTCACGTATCAACGGGATTAATCGGCGAAGATGACTCAAAGACGATTGTTACGAGATCGTAGACAGAGTGCAACGCATAAGATTCGCATAGTGTCGACACGAAATGAGCTATCCTCGAGATCGGTAACGGCGCGGTATAAAATCGATTTATCCGCGATTATTCAAGGTGAATCGCGATACGTAATACGCGGAAAGTCCTTCGATATTCATGCCACTATTTACTGGTGAGTTCTGGGGAAATAGTCTACGGGATAAGAAAAAAAAATGGTCACGTAACAGACAGAATCGGACTACGAAACGTTCCGTTGATTATGGCGACGCTGATTCATGTCTGATATTTATGTTGGTCGGAATCGTTTTGCAACGAAAGCAATATTTATGTAATGTTGGAGGACGCTGTTGTTTGTTGATAATTTCAGCGGCGTTTTTTGTCGTGATTGATGTACTCGTAACAGGTTGACGACCGGGGATTCAATGCTTTGATTGATGAGTCTCTGGATTTGTTCGTGGTTGAAGCGTGATTCAAGAATGGGATACGGAAGGTTTTGATGGACTCAATAAATGATTTAAGCTTTTATTTGCATTGTGTGATTTTTAATGGGCGATTTGTTGAAAGTCATGGCGTTTTGAATCCGTTCGTCGAATATTTTATTATTATATTGTTATGTAACTAAACTATTACTATTACTGTTATATTCTGCATAGTGAAAACATTAAAATTTTTAATAAAAAATTCGTACTTTAAACTACTTCGGTACATAAATATCTTCGAGTTCTCGAAGCCTTCTGAATATTTGAAATTTATGCTCCATACTTATTCCAATATTTGAATGTAATTATCGAAGTATAATATACCAGATATATTTATGTCTCCAATAAAAATTCTAAGTAATTGAGTATTCAAATTCTTAACATTAATAATACACGAATTTTAAATAATTTCAATTTATTTAAATATTTACATACTCAAATATATCATCTCCGATTTGCATACGAACTCACCCAAATAATCAGAAATATAGTCATCAGCGCGTAATTTTTATTCAGAATGGCTGCACGTGAAAAACATACGTAAAGAAATGACGTAATTACTCGACAAACGAGACAGTTGTTTCGAAGTGACGTGCAACAGACAATCAACGAATCACGTAGTCACGCGATCCCTTTTTCTGCTGAAACGAAATGATTATTCGCCGCATGCACAACGATAAACCATATGGTTATACTGTGGAATCTGTACCGTGTATTTTCACCGAACATTGTCAAGTTTTAAGAAAGTTCTTGTATCGACCTCATTCATGCCTGCGTTACCGGAGCAACGTGTTTCACTGTGGCTCGAGAGGGTTCATTGTATAACGGAATGCAACAAATTAATCCCCCAAATGTTTTCGGTTCAATAACGATTCGTTGTGCAATATCGTAATTGATGTTACATTCGCATTAACTGCAATTAACGACGGACGCATCCTCCGGTTCGAAGCGTGTCGCAACCATGATTTTTTTTCACAATTTCGTTCTGCACCGTGTAATTTCATCATTTTGTAACGTAATCTCCTGTATGCTCCTGTTATGTAATCTCCGACTTTTCTTCTTTCTCCTTTGATCACGACACGCGTAATGGCGTCATGTCTCTGCGAATCTTTCGCGTTCACCCACGCATTGAACTTCCTATGCTTATAATTAACCGGTTAGATAGAGTGTAAATGTATATTTATCTGATGATTGGATGTGAGAACGCGGCATGGATGTTTTTGACGTAATTGACTTCGAACAACGGGTAATTAGTATTTTTAGATGAGCTCTGGGTAAGTAGGTTAGTGATGGAAAACTGAGGAATTCAGAAATTTAGAAATTCTGGAATTTTGGCACTTGGAAATTCTGAAATTTTGAAGTTTAGAAATTTGTTGAGCGAGTATCAGGACTAATCTGCGAATCAGTTATCAATTTGGGAGATTTGAAGATCTGGAGGAGTGGAGATTTGAAGACTTGAGAACTTAGGAGTTTTAGAATTTAGAAATTTGGATAAATTGGGAATTGGACACTTTGGGTATTTGGAAAGTTGAAAGCTGGAAGTTAGGAATTAGGAAAACTTGGGAATTAGGAAACTGGAAAACTTGGAAATTTATAAATTCAGAAATTTGATAATGGAGGAAATGGAAAGGAAGATTTTAAGATCTGAAGTATTGGTAGCTTAAAAATTTGATACTGTATAACACTAAAAATTCCAAAATTTGTAATAAAGTCTCTAGCTTAGTCCCAGCCACACCAATTCCAACAATTCTATTTAATTGAACCCGAAGCTTTTCCAATTAATTTATCAACCCTCTTGAAATCAAAAGTTTTCAACGCCGAAAGAATGAAATTATGGAATATCATTGTATCGATGATTCAACGACCTCTTATCATTTAATCTTCACGTTCACGGGGCACGGTTTGCTAAGAATCGAGAAGAGATCAAAGGACACCGAGCAGTTGCTTGACAATTGTATGTAAATCTTGAATTATTACTTATGAACTCGAAGTGCGGATAATTAATTTATGAATAATGTATGATGTCTCTTGCAATTCACGCTCCCAGTTTGATGAAACTCATATAATTTCGTAATCCAGTTCGTTACGTCTTTGACGTTCGTACATGGTAATTAACCATTAGCAGTCGAAGATATTTTTGCTGTTGTCAGATATCAAACTACTCAGTTGAAAAGTTTGTTGAGTTCACTTAAGATTGCTATTTTCCTATTATTAATTACCAATAGTGTCTGCTTGAGTATATTTATGATATATATAATACTTTAGATTGAGTTAAAAATATTTATTTAAAATTGTTGTATTAAACTGAATGGTGAATATGAGTCACCTTTCGAGTGAATACATCATACGTATAATACTATAGATCCAATTAAAAATATTTATTACAAATTGTATTGAACTGAACGGTAAGTGTGAGTCCACCTTTCGTTAATGTCTATTAACCCCTTGCACTATGATTTATTTGTCAGGTCGGAACTAATCACAGCTGCAATATTAAATCAAAGAAAGTTGAAATGTTATGTCAATTTGGTATCGATCGTTGACTATGCAAATAACTGGACTTGAACTCCAAATTGCATATCCAAAATTCAAGTGAAATTGATCACGAAGTACGAGTGCGTCAGACTCGTCAAAACAGTGCAAGGGATTAACGATTATTCCGACGTTAATCGCCATAAATTCTGTGGAATTCGCGACAACTTCGACGTTACTTATCGTAATCCATTGTTCATCCGAGAAGGTATACGTGAATTAGGCAACGGCGTAAAACGTTTCGCAGGCAAAAACATTGATGAAATTTTCACGAAATTTGGATGTCAAGGCGTTGCTCGTATGGGCGTGCACCGTTGACTATCCCGAAACGCGTTGCTGCACCGTGTCTCTTTCATAATGACGTATTGCATTCGCATAATCCCAGGGTAACAATGGTAGCCTTTGCTATTAGTGTTAACAGAGAGAAGCCAATACGAAGCTGAGAAAATTGCTGTCGGGGGCCGTGGCGGGATCCGCCTTTCTTATAAAAGAACCTGTGGACAACGTTAGACGGACAGTGGTGAACTACTGACAGATACGCGGAAAAAAATTAGTGCAATTATTCGACGAGTTAACTGGCTAACGTCAGCTGACGGAGAATGGCTTGCCTGAAAATTGTGAGTCCACTGATATTTAACCGGTAATCTGTGATATTTCATCTCTAAATTTCTATATCCTTAAATTTCTGCGTAACATATTTTTATATTAAGAAATCTCTATATGGTAGAAATTCTTATATTCCAAATCTTAATATCCTGAGTTACTATATCTCAAGTCTTTATATTCAGGATTCTTATATCTTCAAACCTCTATATCGCCGGACCCTATATCTCAAGTTCCTATATCCCCAAACCCTTGTATATCAAATACTTGTATCCTAAACCCCTATATTCAAAATTCTTATGTCCCTATTCCTACTACCCCAAGTCCTTATGTCCTGAGTATCTATGTCCCGAGTCCATATGTCCTAAGTCTCTATGACCCGAGTCATCACATATCGAGTCGCTATATTCTAAGTCCCTATATCACACATCGCTATAACCCCAATACCCATATCCCAAGTACCTATGTCCCAAATGCCTATGTCCCAACTACCTATGTCCTAACTACCCATGTCCCGAATGCCCATGTCCTGAATACCTATGTCCTAACTACCCATGTCCCGAATGTCCATGTCCTAAATACCTATCTCCCAAATGCCTATGTACCAACTACCTATGTCCCATCTACCTATTTCCCAACTACCTATGTACCAGCTACCTATGCCCCATCTACCTATTTCCCAACTACCTATGTACCAGCTACCTATGTCCCATATACCTATTTCCCAACTACCTATGTCCCAAATGTCTACACCCCAAATCCCTACATCCCAAATCCACATATGCCAAATCTCTGTAACATAGTTCTATACAAAATGAACTAACGTCATCAGATTTAAAAAAGTGAAGAAGTTTTCACATAAAGAGCAAAGTATGTTATATATAATGTCTTTATTTACACAGTACACAGTCCTGCTGTTGGCTGTCATTATCGGTATCGTTTCTGCAAGACCAGGATACCTAGGTGGCTACGGATACGGTTTTGGATACCCCTACGGATATGGCTTCCGATACCCATTTTACGGATATGGACACGGTTTCGGATACTATGGTAAGGAAACAAGTTGCATGATTAAAAGTAGAACGGGCTGACTCAACGTCAATGAATCTTTTGTATCCTTCTCATTCAATTGAACAACCATTAAACTCTCCACACTTGCACAACCTTGAATCTTCTGTATTCGAAATTGAATCTTTTCTTCTCGAAATTGATTCTTTTTTATCTTGAATTTATGTATTTGGTTGTGAGGAAAACAAAATATTCATAGACGTTGCAGACACAAATCGCAGAGTAGACAAAACATTCATCGACGTTACTCTGTCATGATAATTTGCTTTTCCTTTAGGCTACCCGTACTACGGTTATGGTCACGGATTCGGTCACTTCGGCTTTCACTAATCGAAAAGATGACATTATGGATTCCACGATTCGCAAAGGGGAAACCGTCGAGAGACGATCTTTCGATACCGATTTTATCCTATCGTAACCTTTCTTGACGACAATCGAAACTGAAATGCGTTCGCGTTTTTGTTAGCCGAAAGCAAACGTATCTTCGTCCTTATTACAAACAGCATTTATCCTGTCTTCTCTGTTTATCCATGCAAATCATAGTAGTCGGAAAAAATAACGATGCAGACATTTATAAAGTGAACGGTTTAGATTGTACTCGATTAAACTTTATATTCTCACCGTCTAAGATTGTGCAAGTCGAATGAATAAAACGTAGATTTTTATCAAAACATCGTATTTGTAGTGTCTTATTGTCGTGCCAGGTGTGACACATTTTCGGACGACGAATTTATTAGTTATGTGTCTTTCGTTGCTGAAATTTTTGAAGTATTTATTCGTTTTGTAAATCTCATTGTGAACCTGGTTATACAAATAGATTAATTTTAATTACAGGGCTATTACAGTATTTATTAATTTCGTTAAAGAGACAGTAAAATTTTTTTGAATCCCCGAACTCGATACTCGAGTCGACGCAAAAATAAACATATGTCATAATGAATATTAAATTTACACCTGCTTTTATAACACTCATAAAGTAAATGATTACTTCGATCGTATATCTTGATGAAATACAACGTTAACGATCGAAGAAAACATAAGATTTTATTTATTAATCTTCCCAAGGTTTTCACAAAATTCGCAAACACTGTCATGCAAGAAAATAAATAAATGTATAATATTTAGACGAGAAATCCTGAATCGTATAATGAATGACGAAATATAAAAATATTCAAATCCTTTCTTACCAGTTGGTTTTCATGTTCAAAATATTTATAATTTTGGTTAATTCTTTCACAATTTGTCGCAATATTATTGGCGAATGGATACGAAGTTCAATGTTTGTTACGTGGTCAATGATGCAAAAACTTGCGTCAATATTTGTTGTGAAAGTTTACAATACAAAACAACGATCAATGATTAATAATCATGTCTCGAGAAGCAAGAAGACATTAAATTGATTAATGTAGGAAAGGGAAGCATCTGAGCTATTCCGCTTTTCGAAAGCTAATAGTTTAAGGAACTGCGTTATACGGTAGACTCTCGTTATATTGCCACAGATGGGGTTACAGTACTAGATAATTTTTTAAATTGGCAATAGACTCCGCAACTGACAATAGAGTTATATTGCAATAATTAGTGTTGTAGTATTAGACGTTTTTGAAATTGGCAATAGACTTTTGTTATATTGCAATAGTTAGAGTTGTAGTATCGAACGATTTTTGAAATTGGTAATACAGTCTCTCGTTATGTTACCATAGATAAAATTATAAAATCAGACGATTTCTGCAAATTGTAATACAGTAAACTCTCGTCATATTGCCACGAATAAGATGATGGTATCAGTCGATTTTTGGTATTGGTAATATAGTAGACTCTTGTTATATTGCAACAATGGGATTGTAACATCGAATGATTCAAGGAAACGACAATATAGTAAACTCTTGTCATATTACCACGAATAAGATGATGGTATCAGTCGATTTTTGGTATTAGTAATACAGTAGACTCTTGTTATATTGCAACAATGGGATTGTAACATCGAATGATTCAAGGAAACGACAATATAGTAAACTCTTGTCATATTACCACGAATAAGATGATGGTATCAGTCGATTTTTGGTATTGGTAATACAGTAGACTCTTGTTATATTGCAACAATGGGATTGTAACATCGAATGATTCAAGGAAACGACAATATAGTAAACTCTTGTCATATTACCACGAATAAGATGATGGTATCAGTCGATTTTTGGTATTAGTAATACAGTAGACTCTTGTTATATTGCAACAATGGGATTGTAACATCGAATGATTCAAGGAAACGACAATATAGTAAACTCTTGTCATATTACCACGAATAAGATGATGGTATCAGTCGATTTTTGGTATTAGTAATACAGTAGACTCTTGTTATATTGCAACAATGGGATTGTAACATCGAATGATTCAAGGAAACGACAATATAGTAAACTCTTGTCATATTACCACGAATAAGATGATGGTATCAGTCGATTTTTGGTATTAGTAATACAGTAGACTCTTGTTATATTGCAACAAATGAGATTGTAACATCGAATGATTCTAGGAAACGACAATATAGTAAACTCTTGTTATATTGCCACAGATGGAGTTATACTATCGAACAACTCATTAAATTAACACTACAGTTGACTTTCGTTATATTGCATATAGGATTACAGTATCACACGATTTTTGGAATTGGCAATATAGTAAACTTTTGTTATACGCACGGTATTTATATAATTATTTGACAGAAAAGTTACTTCTCTAATAATCAAAAACTTCCATAAAACCTTCATTTATAAAAATAAAAATTTGCCTTCTTTTTTCATAAATTTAAAATATAAAATTTTTAATCGTAGTCTTGTAATACCGACAAAGTACCGTGGTTATACCGACTTACGAGTCCACATACCGACTCCCATTACGTCACGCATCTTGTAATTTAGGGTTGTTAGTGCTGTGTACCATAAGTTGGAGGTCGCTACTGTTAGAATACAGACCTCAAAGGCCATCGACATTACGTATCCGAAGTTAAGGACACATACTGCTGTTCTTCAGTTATCATATAATCATAGAATTTGAAATTAACTATTACTGAAGCCTGTAGTCGAGAATCATCGACTGCTCACGACTCATGCGTTCTTAACAACGAAACTCGTGATTTGGAGTCCGCGGTAATAGAATCTAATCGTTATAGGTCACAAGACTTGTAATTAGGAAAATATGCTTGTTGAAAATCATAGTGTAGCCGTTGGTTCGACTCGAATTTCGTAGAAACTGAGTCATTGTTACCTCATCGTAGAACTCTAACCATATAAGTCCAGCGTGTGCCATCACTGCTTAATTATTATGGGTCATCGTTCTGTCTTCGTTTATTACCAAGAAATTGTTACTACCAATTTTCATTGTCCGCTCGAAAAGTCAAGTGGTATTTAGCAGAGACCTGTTACGAAATTTATTTCGACTTTGCAATCTGCGTTTAGATACCATCGCTCACGCGTTTTTTCATTTTCGTTTAAAAAAACATGTCATGTAAATCAAGTTTTTGCAGTGAAGTATTTTTAACAAATACTAAGACGTTTCATTTTTTGTAGTCTTATGTCAGTTAGAATTCTTTTCGGGTTTGTCATTTCTTTTGCTTTTCCGTTACAAGGTATTTATATTTAATACTCTTAATTTCGTGTGCGAAAGTCATAAGAAGAGTCTTCACTTTACTAAAAATCTTTCGAATTTAAAAATTGCTGCAAATATTACAAACATTACAGTGGTGCTTCACTTAAGAATTATTCGTTGAATTTTAATAAATAATCCAACAGCAACAACCTAGCCTCTCACCGATTTAATTGTAAACATTAATATTAATTTCCTGAAACGTACCAAACAAAAATATTAAAATATATATACATTAAGACTAAAAATACTACATAACAAAAATATTAAAATACCGTAAAATTAATAAATTTTATACGTGAAAAATAAAAATACGACTTGATGAGATCCTCAGCGACCTTACCGTAATGGCGGCCGCATTAAAGCGTATGAACCTGATTTTCTTCAATAGATCACCACTGCAACCGTTTCGTAATTCGTTCTGCGCATTATGCAAAAGTTATGCTGGTTATAAGTGACACAATTCAATCAACCTTATCCAAGAAAGAATCTCCAGTACTCCTCCACGAACTCCTTTAATTACGATGTTGAACGACGTAACAGGAGAACGACGGTAAAATCAGCAAACATTGCTAAAATCCTGTTTCTACGAGCATTTTCTGTTTAATTGGGCAACCACGTCGCGATTAAGAGAGAATGCATCTGCGGTGATCCGTATGTGCAGGTGCAGGGGTCATCCGCAGCTCTTCGGGTCGTTCGGACTTTTACTTTGCTGCGAGTCAACCGCAATCGACCATAATCGCAACTTTAACCATCGATGTGACACGTTTCACTCTTCCTGCTTCTTAAACAAACATCAAAGGAATGTTTCAAAGTGATGACACTTTCGATTTTAATCTATACTTTACACTTCGAGAATTCAAGATAAAAGTTTCATCAATTTTTACTGATTGGATTCTTTAAATTTAGCAATTTTTGTTGATCGGATTTTTTAAATTTAGCAATTTTTACTAATTGGAATTTTTAAATTCATCAATTTTTACTGATTGGATTTTTTAAACTTAGCAATTTTTACTGATCGGATTTTTTAAATTTAGCCATTTTTACTAATTCGATTTTTTTAAATTTAGCAATTTTTACTCATTGGATTTTTTAAATTTCTTATTTGTTACACGTTGACTTCTTTTATATTTCATTAAAATCTGAAACTTAAGATATTGTATACAGGTTGATGTTGAATAATTACTCACTGTAACTGATGAGTGTATTACGTGCGTTATATTGCAGGTACAAATTAATCAAATTACATTAAAAAAGTTGCACGATATTTTATCAAATTATACAAAATCTCGACACTGTATCAAATCGTTCACATAACTATTCATAAACGAATTTTTTCAACAGCATGGATCAGAAATAGTAGAATATTTTTAAATAACCGTATATGGGTAAAGGTTAACGCTTTTAAAAAATACAAACCGAGCCGTCTAAATTATAAATAAAATTAATGCGAATTTTAATTTTTCTGAGATCCGTGCTTCCACGAATGCAACGGCTAATAAAAACATCGATTAAAGGTGACGGTCTTTTAATATGTTCCAAATGTCAAAGGATTGAAATTGACGAGTTTAAATTAAACGAGAGGAACGTAGAAAAATAAATGAAGGGACGATGTGCGGCGATTTTATGGAAATGTTTGTTTACGAAACTTTAACCTGTGTTTTCGAGTAACATCTAATGAAAAAGTTACACAATATTACATTTAGCCGAGTTAACACGTATGGTATATTATATAAATATTGTGAAAGCATCTGCGATCATTTACGACACTTCACGTTTACCTTGATGATACCAGACGGATTCACTAATGATACATCGAATTGCTGCAATTAAAATTCCAAGGTCTTCTCAAAAGAGTGGCCACAAAAAAATACACAAGCGAATTTTTATTATCTAGACCTGCGTTTGGTGTAAATCATTTGAGGACAAATCTTGAAGAAATCCTGAATATATTTGTCTCTTTTGAATAAGAATGCTTTTTTCGGTGTCGTGTTATGAACAACCGTGGTTCTGAAGTTTTAACATTCTTAAGCTTTTGACGCAGTTTAAAATTTGGAGAATTTGGGGTTTAAAATTGTGGAACTATAGGATTTTTAAATTTTGGGATTTTGGGAGTTTGCATTTATGCATTTTTGGAATTTTGCAATTTTTACGTTTTGGGATTTTTAGATTTTAAGACTTGAAAATTTTTGGATTTTTAGATTTTTGGATTTTAGGGTTTTTGAATTTTTGGATTTCTAAATTTCTGGACTTTTGGATTCACAGATCCTTAAATTTTAATTTTGGTGATTTTGGGATTTGGAGACTTTTGGATTTTGATATTTTGGAATTATAGGATTTTGAACATTTGAATTCTTGAACTTTTGCAAGTTTTTGAATTTTCAGATTTGTAGATATTATTAGATCTTTGCATGTTATTGCATTTTTGGACATTATTGCATTTGT